GGCCTGCACAGTCATCATCCTCTCCGTTTCATCCCCACAACAACCACCCTGTGAGGTAGGTTGGACTGAAAGGCTATGCTTGGCCCAAAGTCACCCAGTGGGCTCCACAGCTGAGCTGGGACTAGAACCCAGGTCACCGGAGTCCCAGCCCACACTCGGAACGAACTCACTGCATTGGCTCTTTAGGTCCACACTGCAGAATCCACTGTACAAGAGGCTTCATTGGACGGGAGATCTGCTGTGCCGGATCAGATTAAACTCTGTCAAATTCAGTGTATTCTTCCCCATGTGGGTTGGCCAGATGTCCCCAAGGAGTTCAGACACGGCAAAAAGTTCACTCCCAGCATTATCTCCATTGTTCTTGCCATTGTTAAATCCATCAGCAAGGCCAGTTAAAGTGCTGGACTGGGACATGGGAGATCCAGGTTTGAGTCCCATGAAGCTCACACCTTCTCAGACTAACCTACCTCACAAGGTTGTTACGAGAATTAAACGGAGAGGAGGAGGAGGAGGAGGACGACTGTGCAAGCCGCCTTGGGTTTGTTGCGAAGGCAACATATGCATGAAATCAGTCGAGGCAAATATAAAAATGACATTGGCTTAGTTGAGTGTCTGATCGGGCGGAGAGAGCCACTCTTCAGCACGCTCTACCGTAGCAACGGCAGTCTCGTCTGCATAACTAGGGTGCAGGATGCCCCCAGGTGTGCCGCATGGAAATCGCTGGGCTTCTGCAGAAGCAAAGCAGGCCGAGAAGCAGGAATCGGGGATGCCGGCGGACACCCCTGCAAGAGTGGCAGGAGCAGCCCCAGGTCACGATGGGCTGGAGTCACCCGATCCCTGCCAGGCGGAAAGCTGCAGTATCCCTCTCCAGCCACGTGCAGTGGTGGCGCTGCAGAGCTGCCCTGGTGGGGCCAGCGCCTTGCAGGACCTGCGCCTGTGGCCGCCGGCGTCTCCAGTGTGAGGGCCCCAGCCGCTCTGCGAGTGGACAGGCCCTCTGCAAAGGCTGCACGGCCCTCAGTGCCTGGTCGTTCCGTGTTGCTGCTCATTTCAAAATTAGAACGCTGCTATGCAACACCTCAGTGGGCAGTCCGTCCTGGTGGCAGTGCCCACCCTGTAGAAGCGTTCGTGCCGTTTTTAACCATCCCCCCAAAAGTGCACCTCTCCACCGTGGCTTTCCCCATCCCATAGTTAAATTAATCATGCTGTTCAATTTTACTGTTCTGTACTGCTCTATTATTAGTAGTATTTTAATGGTATTGTTTTTAACATTGTATTTTAAGTGGGATTTTAATTGTGATTTTAATATGTATGTGGAAACTGCTTACAGATTTTTCTTAATATTTTAGTGGTATAATAATACTACAAATCAAAAATCGAATTATAAATTTTTGACTGCATTGTTAAATGCATGCAAAACAGGATTGCTATTGCCCTGTGATCTTGGCATTGGTTATTGTCACAAATTGGAAGACAATTCTTAGGTTTGTTTATTATTGTTGCATTTAACAGTATTTTATTGTGGAAGTAGGATATTATGTTTATTATTTTTACTGGTCTTTCTTTTATTAATACTATGAGCTTCAGAATGCTGCTGCTAGAGGAAGGGCTGGGGAGTAAGAAATTTAAATAAATCTTGTGTGAAGTTTTCCTTCATTGTAGACCGTTCTTGCATGTCCGACTGATGGTTTTAATACAAATAGCTCATTATTTCAATGTTGAATTTGTGGTACTCTAAAAAAAATGTGGATAGTTCCCCACCTAAATGGGGGAGGCCACATTTAAAGACCTATCTCAGAACCCCTTTCATAAGCTGTATTTGCAGAGCTGGCTTTCACTTCTCAAGCGTGATGAAAACGCTGCAGGAGCAGCCCTGGGCTCTCGCACCTGTCCTTGCCCCAGCCCACAGGAGCCTCGCGTGCGCTGCTTCGGGCTGCCACACTGCTTTGCACAACTGCTCTTGTGCTCGTTCTCTTCCGCCACCCCCCTTTTTTATTGTTTTGCCTGCTTTCTCATACCAAGCTCCTGGGTAGCTGCGCCATAAGGTCTATGTCCAGAGATTTCCTCTGGTACCTTTCCCTAGATCGAAGCCAGCATCCTCTGCTCCCCTTCCCTCCAGTCAACCCACACCTAGCAGTTTAATGATTAACTCTGAAGGCAAGGTTCTGAAAAGCATCTGCTTGCTGTAAGAATCAGATTAGCCCAGGTTTTGCATAATATTCCACATCTGAAGCCACTCTGCTAGGCAATGAGGGAGCAATTGGTAGGGGACTTGGAAGGTTGGAAGGTAGGTTAAATGCATGATGAAAGCCGGCTGTGTTTTGCCGACAGGGCCACCAATTTGGCCGTAGCTCAGGGGTGGACCACCAGCTTTGCGAGCAGCGATCCTGGGTTCAAACTCAGACATTTTCTCTTTTTCTTTTAAAGGCCTAGGTAGCAAGTAATGTGAATGGAGCTCTGCTGGCTGTTCCCAGTCAGAGCAGGCTGTATTTCACTAGATGGACAAACTGCCTGATCTGTGCTCTAACCGCTTCCCATATTACTAAAGACCCCAGAACCTGGCAATTCAAGAGGCCGTCCATCTTGGTGACCCTGCCTGAGAGCTGTGATCTGCATAAGGCGCCCCTTTGGGGGAGCAGCTCTCCGATGGGCCCTCTTTGTCAGGCACACATGAAAGGTTTTCATTGTTGCGTGCCTTCGTTTTGAATTCCTCACTGCCTTGATCGCTTTTTAGCAGAAAAGGCAGTAGATAAATGTATGTATTTAAGGTGGTATGTGGTTCTGTGAACTCACAAAATACTGCAAGACAGATTTTTGCACTCCTAGAGCAGGGGATAGTAATAACAGTATTTAATGGCTATCTATGTCAGGCTGCCAGTTGTTTCAGATGATAACTCCTAGGATGTTGCACAATCTTGATACCACCACAGAAAGGTCCCTGTTGTTTTTATCCACCATAGGCTGTGTTTCAGATGGTGCACAACAGCCTTCCCCACCATGGTGCCCTTCAGATGTATTGGCATGCATTTCAGCAATTCTGATCCTGATGGCTGGGGCAGATGGGAGCTGAAGGCCAAAACATTTGGGAATGACTACCCTACAGCAATCCCCACCCCCACAAGTCCTTGCAATGTAATAACCTCATCAGGTAGGCAGCATATTTTTCCCTTGTGGCAGGAGAAAGGCAGGGAACGGTGAAGCCAGCCTGTTGATTGGGGCCACCGATGTGGAGGGGCAACCCCCGTGTTGCAGCAGCTTGGAGGACAACTGGTCTGTTTCCAGGCAGAATTCAGAGTGACCTGGCTTGAGACTAGGCTTGCTAAAGTCCACCTTTTTCCACACAAGACTGCCTGGTTCTTAAAATTCTTGGGAGAAGCCCTTCTTTTGAGCCTGCCATTTGGTGGCAATGCAGGACAAGGCCTTCTTGGTGGCTGCCCCAGGCTGCCCCAGGTTCCTCTATTGTTGAAAACAAGCTTTTGGATATTTTTTATGATAAGCTGCCTTAAAATCAGCATATCGGTCAGAGATAATATGAGGAGGAGGAGTAATAGCATTGCTAGTAAAAAGTAAAATAGTAAAAAGTGCATCTTTGGGGAAAGTGTTGGGGGTGGGACATTGTCTAGCACTACAAACTGTCTAGAGGTTTGGGGGACATTCTTGACTGTAACTGTTGTGGAGCTGAATAAAAGATGGTTGAGTTAAAGATGAGGATACACTATTTAGTCAATGCTGTTTGATCAAAGTCACTCTGTGACTGAGTGGAGATTTGAACCTGTGCCTGCCTCATCTGAGCCTGAGATACTGCGATGTAGGAAGCAGATGGTTAATTTGTCCAGGCCAGTATAAACTCTGGAGGGTGCCTAGAGCCAACCTGCAGCTTGTCCCAGCTCGGATTCCCAGGAAGCAGTACACTTTCAACAGAGCAAGATCTGCAAAAGGAGCGTTCTTTGACAGGCTGAAAGGCACTGGAGGAACAAAAAGCAAATGTTGCAGGGAATGAACTACGCAGACTTCCAACCCAGTGGGTAGGGTTTCCTTGGTAGGAAAGAGGATATAAATCAAATCCCAGACATTTTACTATATTCTTAGTCTTTGTACTGCTACTAAGTTTTATTTAATTTGTGCTTATTTCATCTAGCAGTTTTGATTTTTTTCTATTATATCGTGTTGTATTTTATTTATTTTATTTTTTATTTTTTATTTATTAAAACATTTTATGGCGTTAATGGTTGTAACAGTGCAAAGAGTTACGTCTGTTGGGCGGCATAGGGGGATAACTGATTAATGCTGTGCAGGGTGGAGGGCTCAGCCATCGCAGGAGCCATGCTGCCTGCTCTAGAAACTTTCTCCCACTCCTGAATTCTGCTTATGCTTGGAATGGTGCTTTGCACATGTGCAGAAACACTGTACTATTAGATTGCAGGAAGTTTTTTCAACTGGTTGGTGGGCTGCTTGGTGAGGAATTTAAATTTCCTTGATTTTCACGTATCGAAGACAGCCTTAGCTCCTTAGAAGACGGCCTGAGCTAGGAAGGTGGACCTAAGTTAACAAGAGTGTGAGAACCGATATCACAGGAGGTCAAAAACTTGGTCCTCCACCTCCTGTTAAGATGAAGGCCTTGAAGGACCACCATCAGCCCCTTTGCTGAGAGGGGGTTCGAGTCTTGGACTGGGGCCTCGGGAGCTGTGGGTTCTGCTCCCCACTTGCCATGAGGCTTGCTGGGTGCCTCTGGGTCAGAGGGTGGTGCTGCGAGAGGTGGCGGATCAGGTCCACGGCCCTGTGCTCCTTGCGAGAAAGGCAGTCTATAGCAGTGTTGCTCACAGGTAAATTCACGAGTCTACAGTTCTGCCGGGTGGCCGGCTGGAGAGGCCAGCCCCCGCGTTCTGCTTGCGTACGCCCAGCCTGCCTGGCTCTTGCCTCCCCACGACTCGGATGCCTGTGCAGTCGACCACCGGACCCCCGCTGACGGCTCTGCCCCCTTTGTATCCCCCCACCCCAGTTACATGGTTCGGGTGCGGGCTGTGGTGATGACCCGAGACGATTCGAGCGGCGGTTGGGTGCCCATGGGTGGTGGCGGCCTGAGCCACGTGACGATCTGCAAAGTCCGACGCCCGGACGAGGGCCGGCGGCGCCAGTACCTGATCAGTGGCGAGCGCCTCCGGGACCAGACGGTGAGTTCCGTGGGCGTGTGGGGCCGGGCTCAGGCAGAAGCAGCAGCAGTTAAGGGAAGCTTCCTCTGCTTTCAAGATGGCTGCTGTGACGGCAGCGGGGGCAGGAGGAGGGAGAGGCCATCTTGCTCCTTTCTCCAGGAATCTGGATGGGCTTGAGGGACCGCTGCCCCGCGGTGAACATGCCGAGTCTCATATGGAAAGTGGGCGCGATGCAGGGCCTGCATCCGGAGCACACATGTGCCCGAGGCAATTCGAGGAGATGGCTTCCTCCCCCACAAAATGGCTGCCGTGGGAGGCACTGCAAAGGACAAGTAACGTGTCCAGACACGGAGGGCAGAGGTGGCTTGGGAGCCTCAATCATGCTGAACCGCCCCCTTGAAGCCCCAGTCCGAGAGAAACCTGCTTTGCAGCAGTCCGGGCTGCCAGTCAGGAAATCGGTGGTGGCGATTTTGAAGTGGGAGGAACGGGCACCTCGGCAGGCACCGAAAAGGTGTCCCGGAGGTGCCCAGGAGCCCCGAGGCTCTACGTGGCCTACCCAGGTGCATAGGTGCTCGGCATGAAGCCACCTCTCGGCCAGGGTGATTCTCTATGGGCAGCTGGTCTAGATCTTCCAGCAGTCCTTCCCGTGACCACGTTCTTTCCCCTCCACAGACCATCTTGGAGTGCGCCCTGAAAAGGGACCTCGTCTACAACAAGGTGAACCCCATTTTCCACCACTGGAAGGTGGGGGACAGCAAGTTCGGCCTCACTTTCCAGAGCCCTGCAGATGCCGTGGCCTTCGAGCGGGGGGTGCAAGCTGCTCTGGAGGAGATCACTGAAGGTGAGGAGGCCGCAGGAGAATGGGACGGGCCATGCGGGGAGTGGGGCGGCTTGTCAGAGGGCCGGCTGCACGGCAGCTCTCGGGGGTGCGCCGTAGCTCACGAGGGGCTCAGGTAGAGCATTTTCATAGTGCAAGCAGTCGTGCCTGAAGCAGCGGGAGCACCTGTGCGGCTGCAGAGAAGCACTTGAGAGCCAGCTGAGAGCCCGTCCCAGGTTCGAATCCTGCCTCCGCCGCAAATTCACCCGGTGCCTTGGACAGGACTTGGTTTCTTCAGCCCACCGCTCTTCAGCTGTGGCAGGGGGGCAGCTATGGCCCTCCTCCGCCCGCCCTACTGTAACTCTTGTTACGAGTGAGCAGAAAGAGCTTCATCAGTGCTTGTGCTGATCCCCCCGTTTCTTTCCTTCAGGATCCCTCTCTCCTTCCTCCAGCTCCTCCTCCTCTTCCTCGCAGGATGAAGTTAATGGGAGGGATGAAGCCCTTGCAGTAAGTCTGTTTTCTGACATCAGGCTCTGTCTTTCTGAGCATGTTTAGAGTACCTTCCCACTCTGCCAGAGAGCAGCCCTAAAAATAATTTGCAGCAGGTTCAGAACTTGGCATGAGCGATGGAATTCACGACGCTGAACCATTTTGCAGAGGCTATTTCGGCGCCGCTGCCTGTAATATTTGAGGACTCCTGGAAAACAGGTGAGGTGGAAATGGCCACGGTCACCCTCATTTGCAAGAAGGGGAGGAGGATAGATCCAGGAAACTATAGACCAGACAGTCTGATGACAACACTGAGCGCAATTCCTGAAGAGAGGATTAAGTGGCCAGCCTCTGAGTGCGGGGGAAATAATGCACTGATTGCTGGGAGTCAAAATATGGGTTTGTCGGGAATAAGTCATGCCCAACCAGCCTTATCCCCTCTGTGATAAGAAATTCCTAGCTGAGTGTGGATGTAACATGTCCTGATTTTAGCAAAGCATTTGATTAGGTATTCCCTGATACCTTGTTGACGAGTTTTGGGTTGGATGCTGCTGCAGTCAGAAGCATCGTATAAGCATACGCAGTAATGTTAATCAAGGGCACTGCGTCTTCCTGAAGGGAGGTCTTGAAAGGAAGGCTGCCGTTTTGCAATGATGGAGAAAAGTGTGGAGGGGTTGCTTATCAAATATGCAGATAACGGAAAGCTAGGAGAACCAGCCAGCATTCTAGAAACCAGAAGCAAGATTCAAAAGCATCCAGAGAGGCCGAAACACTCAACTGAATCTAGTAAGATGAGATTCGGCAGAGATGAATGTCAAACTGTGCATTCAGGGCCAAAAAATAAAAATCAAAGACCCGTGTATAGGATGGGAGAGACCTGGCTTGGCAGCAGTAAAGGGCCTTGGTATCTTAGTGGCTCCTCAGCAGAACACAAGCCAGTTGTGTGATGCAGCAGCTAAGAAAGCAAAGGCAGTGGTGCCTGCGTTAACAGAAGCATGGTGACATCACATCAATAGTTCCACTTTACTCAGCATCAGTCGGGCATCCTTTGGAGTACAGTGCCCAAGTCGGGGTGCCCTGTTTTAAGGGGGATGCTGACAGGTTGGCCCACATCCAGAGCAATAGATGATGGATCCAGTGGCCAAAGGGCAGGTGTTGGGGGGGGGGAGTGGGGACTCCTCATTCCCTTCTTCACAGGCACCCATCTGTGTATTCAGAAGTCACAGTCAAGACCAGTTTGCATGAGCACATGCTGCGAGTTTGAAAATCCTGCGCGAGTACTGCAAAACCGATTACATTTTCGCTTTCAAATGTGTTCTCTCACTTGAGCACATTTCTAACCCAAAGCGACTTACAAAGCTCCATTTTATCCTCAGAACAACCACCCTGTGGCGTAGGCTGGGCTGAGAGTTTGTGACTGACCCGCTGTGACCCAGAGAGCTTCACATTTATTTACAATCTTTATATGTTTCCCTTTGTTAGCAAACCATGCAGTGGTTTACAAAGTGTATTAAAGCAACCATAAATGAAACGCCAAAGATAAAAACAAAGGAAAAAATCTGCTAGGCTAGGTATGGAAATCGGCATGTGCCCAGAGAAACCACTTTGGTGCATGTTTGCTTCAGCCCTTGCTTGGCTACCTCCACACCAGTAGGGGGCACTGTAGGCAACTAGACAAAGGAGCTGAGCGTCAGGGACTCCCCATCTGGAAACAGCACCCTCCTCAGCACCGCTGCTTCTTTTTCTTGCTAGGTGCACACAGACAGCGAGTCCTCCTCAAACAGCCAGAAGGAAATGCTCCCCAAGCCCATCACCATCGTCACCAGCGAGTCCTCCTCCAGCTGCTACATCCGCCTGCCTGCCTCTGAGGAGCTCCCTGTCGGCACAGTGCAGGCAGCAGGGTCAACTGGACTGGTATGTGTTGGGGCCAGTGGCTTCTGAGCTACAGGATGTGTTGGGAGGGGCTCATGCTCCTTTAGGGGATTGCCCAAACCTGTGCTGCAAAATACTTGGCTCAGACCCTATTCCAGCAGCTGGGCGATTTATCTGGTCACCTGGGGTGAGTAAAAAAATTAGTCCAGGCGACTTGCCACTCTCTTCTCGAGACTCTGAAGTTAGAAGAAGAGTTGAATAGCTTTGAATAGCCTGACACCTCCTCTGCCACTCCCAGAGACTGCTCCTTGGGGCCGTTCTGATATCCTGGAAACCTTTGAAAGAAATACTATGGGTGGTTCCTTCCTTGCATTCTGGAAATAGGAAGCAGGGATTGTGAGTTACCATAGTAGGGGAGAGCACAGAGTATGGCAGTTTAGCGATTCCCTGATGCGCCCTGGCTTGTGGTCCCGTTGGAAGCTGGCAGCATCCAATGGCAGTCAGAAAAGGGCAAGAAGAAGCTAGAACCTTGGGTAGCTCCCTGGGGGTCCTGAGGCGGAACTCCCTCTCTTACTATAACAGGAGGAGAACACCGTCTCAGCACAGAGCTAACAGCCACTCATGCCTTATGCACAATGGAAGGACTGTAGCGTGGCCCCTCTGCCCCTCCTACAGGGGAAATTTAAAAAATCCTCCCCTGCAAGGATGGGGAGATGGAAGTCCTTCCAGGGATTCATTCTCTGTACCAGAAGGATGGTCGCAGAACTTTGTCTGGGCCGGTCCTGGATAAAACGACCCACTGTGCCCTCTGGAAGGGCTTTGGGCACGATCCCTGGGTAGTGTGATAGCTACACCTCGAAGATTCCCAGGACCCAGGTTCAGCTCATGCTCTTTCTGCCGCATGCCCACGGCTGGGTCATTCCCACGTCCTCCTTTCCCCACGCTGCAGGTCCAGCCCCAGCCGTTGCAGCAGCTGGCCCTCCCAGAGGAAGGGGACCTGGAGAGCATCACTCCCTGCAGAGAGCTTTGGGTCACCAAGGGCTACGAGGACTATCGCCGGGCCGTGGTCCAGAAGCACCAGCCCGAGCCCGAGAAGCCTGGCATGTGCGTGCACTTTGAGAAGGGCGGTGGAGGCAGCAGGTCCCCGCGGGAGAAGGAGTACTGCTTCCCACCCGGGGCAGAGGGGCGGCTCAAGGACCCCCAGGCCTCGCCCTCCTGCCGCGTCCACAGCACCCCGTCGCCTCCCAAGCACAAGCCGCTGAAGGAGCAGCAGCAGCCCCCGCTTGGCGGGGCGGGCGTGGAGGAGGACGCGGTGCCCTCGCGCTGCGTCTACTGCCGGGACGTCTTTAACCACGAGGAGAACGGGCGCGGGCAGTGCCAGGACGCACCGGACCCCATCGGCCGCTGCGTCTACCAGTTCACCTGCATGTGGTGCGCAGAGAGCATGCTCTACCACTGCATGTCGGACTCCGAAGGAGAGTATTCGGACCCTTGCTCCTGCGACACCGGCCACCCCCACTTCTGCATCCGCTGGGTGGCCCTGGTCATGCTTTCTCTCGTGGTCCCCTGCATGTGCTGCTACCTGCCCCTCCACGCCTGCCACTGGTGCGGCGAGCACTGCGGCTGCTGTGGGGGCAAGCACAAGGCCGTGCGGTGAGGCCGGAGGGGTGCGTCTCGGGGGCACTCGGTTTTCGCCGCCAGGGCGGCAGGCAGACACCAGGGCAGCTTGACCACAAAGCGGGAGGTTTGCTGGGGCAGGACCCTGCTCTCTCTGCCCCCTTCCTGCTTATGCCAATTTTGGGGAAAGGGCGTTGGGCTCTGAGGCTAATTGGTGGAATTCCTGGGGCGCGGGTTTTCCTTTCTTTTGTTTTCCCATTTTGAGAACTGGGGCCCTTTTTTACAGTGAAATTGAAGGGGGAAAGAAAAAAAAATGGAAAACTACGATGGGAAAGACCAAGGAAATACAGTAGCTCGCTTATTGGGCTTGGATGTCAGGTAGTATGTCAGGGAAAGTAACGGATTAGTACCTTCCTCCAGGTTTGTTTTTTAAAAAATGAGCAATTATTACTTTGTGAGAATCACGGAAATGAGTATGTGCTAGCTGTGAATACATAGAATAACCTACATTTCGATGAATGAACGATACCTGTATTATCCATGAAATCTGTCCCTATTCACAGAATTGCTACCAATTTTGGCTCAGGCTTAAGCAAGCCTGTGCAACTTGGATTCCATCAAGGCAGACGCAACTAAGTCTGCATTTAGCCTAGTTGTGCAACAGGTTGTAAGGGCAGATTATGTGTTACCTTCCTCCTCGCCACCCAAAATTAAGCATTCCCCTCCCCACTGTGAATTACCAAAAAAACAAAGCCTGTCCTTGTGGGTTGTTTGTCCCCATGCTGCACATTGGCATGCCTTCTGATAGTACCCCACTGGTCCCCACATTTCACGAGGCAACAAGAAGAAAGTTGCTTTAGCTAGCTGATTCAGGCATCACTTTTTGGCATCACCTTTCTGCCTCAAAAGGAGGACCCTCCGTTTACTTATGTACATATTAAAACTGTTCCAACCCCAACCAGTAGATCTCACATTGGGATACAAAAATGAAAACAGTTCAGCATAAAACCACAGCAAAAGAAAATTGGTATTTCTAACCCAAGCAACCAAATCAGAACCAAGCTACAGCGCGTGAATAGCTTGGGTAAACAGCCTGAGCCTAGCTTGGTGTGCCACAATGAAGCCAGTGTTTTTGGTGCCAGCCAAGGCTCCTAGGGGGTGACTTTCTCTAACTCGGGTGCCACAGCTGAGAAGGCCCTGTAACGCAAAGCTGATGCAGTCGGCATTGTCTGCGCGAGCAGTCCAGTGTGATCGCTTTAGAAAAGGGACATAGGGGTATGTATGTCCCAAGCAAAATTCGGGGAGGCCTAACACTGCTCTTTTTGCCTGTGCTTGGCTGCCCTGCTTACCCACCTGCTGCAGATCACCTAAGGAGATCTGGCAGCAACACAGTCCGGCTGCATTTCCAGTATCAGACTGAAAATAGGGTCACCACATTCCTAGCGGTGCAGACGTTGTCCTTTAGGGATGCAGGAGTAAAAGACACTTGTAGCTACATCACAGATTATCACTCAAAAGTAAACCATCAAGCAGGTTCCAAACGTGAGGGCTTATGCAACCTTCTAGACTTTTCTCTCATCTATGATTATCCAGCTTGGGGAGCACATGGTCCCTTGGGTATTGGTAGACTGTAACTCCCCTCAGCCCCTGCCCTTCTCTCACTTTTCCAGCTCCTAGCCGAAAAGTTAAATGGAGAATTTGTGAAGAACCCAAACAGACAAAATAATCCAGGATGTGCAAATTGCTATGATTTTCATCAAATTGCAGAAAGTGGGTTTTCTTGGTACAAAACTGGGTGGAAATGGTTATTTTTGGATGTGGGTCCAGAAGTATGTCTGTCATTCTGTGTTTTAAAGTCCAGACATAAGGATCAGCGCTGAGAGACCCTCTGAATTTTCAACAACTGGATTTACCAAAAATTGAAAGCATGTGGTCCCCCTCTCCCCTCTTGGCATGGTTGATCTTTAAAAAATTGTACTTGGAAATGCTCCAAACTTCAGAATTATTTTTTAGCTGAAAATTTAAAAGAAGTATGATTGTTACTCTTTTAATTCACGGAATCTCCTTCAATTTTATGCTTTTCTCATGGAACCCCAAAGAGGAAGTCAAAGAATGTATGATTTGGAGGTGGCAGACAATTGTCTGCAGAAAAACAATGAAACAAAGTTCAGAGAAGGGAGTATTCAAGGCACTTAACTTTTTCTTTAAGTCTCATGCATGCAGAATAGAAACAAGACATTGTTAAGGATTCCCTGGGATACAGACCGTCTCCTGTTAACATGTTCAAAGCTTTAAGGTGTGTTGAAAGGAAAAAGAAATCAATGCGTTTGCTTTTGTGCCAAGTGGGCATTGTTGGGACTCGTTATGGCATATGTAATCCATTGGGAACAGGATTGGGATCCTAGGGCAAATGAGATGAAAACAACATCCCCCACTGTGCCCTGTGGTTGACGCATTACCTGTAATAGATAAAGCACTGTGGGATTTTTCTTAGCATCAGAAAACTAACTAAGACAACTATGGCTTGTTGAAGGGTCTAGCAACGCGTGTTTAACATGGGTGCTTACGCAGACAGGGTTCGGTTTACAGGGTACGCTCGTCTGTCCCCCCACCCCCGTTTTGTTTGTTAGTTTGTGCGATAACACCTTTTAATACGATTTTAAATGCAAGGTGGAGCTGGAGAAAATAGGACTCACCATTTCAATTAAAAAGAGGGGTACTATGCCAAGTTGTTTTAAAAGACTGGGGGAGCAGTCAGCTTTGTGCCATGTTCTTGATCTTTTTCTTATAAATGGGATGGCAGAGCTGATCCCAGTGTAATCCTGTGCATGCCTGCTCAGAAGTAAGTTCTGTTCAGTTGGTGTGTGTAGCAGCCGTGAGGAACCTCACGGCAATGGGCCAAATTCTGCTCCCTTGGGCTCCCTCGAGAGCCATACCCCTTTCCCTCATCATGCAGTGGCTTGTGTTTCTATGTTTTCCCTTTTTCTTTCTCCCTTCTAAACGTTGATATACCTCTCCTAAGGCTCGGTTCCTGTTGTTCGGCGCCTTAAGCTAAATTATGCCCCTATCTTTGGCATTTGCTCCACTGCTGTGCCCTCCATTCTTGCTCACCACTGGAATGGAACATCTCCAGAATTAAATTCAGCCCTCAAAGAGGTTCTTCAGCTTTGATGTACAGGATCACAATCTAAGGTACCAAAATGAGAGAGATCTACAATTCATACCACTTCTTGATTGGCTTGGGAAGGCCCAATTTTCCCAGTGCTCCATTTAACTAGGTTTCTTGTGCACTTGAAAAAACTTTTCACAACTGATGACACACATCTGTATTTCTGAATGAGGCTCTTACTACGGCCCCAACATTTAATTTTCATTCCAGTCCTTTTGATAGTGGTTACTGCTATTCACATTTTATTGTCTGAGCAACTGTGGGCATTTAAAGTATCAGTAAGAAAACAGATCTCACGTAGAATTAAAAGATGTAGCACAGGGGAGGTTTTACTTGAATTTCCTTTTTAAAAAATAACCTCCCTGTGAACCTTTTGCCCAACTATCTCAGTGAAATGCTTGATCCCTACCCACAACCTGATATGTCCCTCTCACCAAAGAGGAACCTTCAAACTTGAACCAAAGGCAAGAGACTCTTTAAGTGGCCAAGGTGGTTATGTTCATAGTGTGCAACCAAGCTCCCTCTTGCTGCTTCTCAAGTGCATGTTTGAAAAGCTGACGAGGAACAGAGAAAAGGAGAAAAGTTCTTTATGGTCAATTGAAATACAGAGGTCAGATTTCTGCAGCTGTTCATCATTATGAACCAGTGTTGCTATTTTATTTTCATGGTAATATTTTTAACTCTACTTCCTGTGTACTTATAGCAGGATTTCTAAGCACAACTACCCAGAAGTAAACTTGGTATAAATTTGCCTTCGATCAGGACAGGTGTGGCCCAAGGCATTTTGGGATTGAGGCAGCAAAGCTGGGGAGCCCCAAACAGTGCAGGCCTCAGCATGTGCCAGGACTCACCTTCACGAGCCTTCTAAATGGACACAGGCAGCTGGAGAAGATTCTTGGTTTGTACACATCCTCCTCCTTACCTTGTTTTGCAAAGGTGAGCACACCCCTGCCTGGAGGAGCTTACACAGGTTAACACAGGGGTTGGACAAAACCACAGAACATCCAGAAAAACCTGACGAGAGAAAAAGAGAAAGAAAAATCACAGGATGTTGCAAATATAATTTTATTCCTCTAAATAGCTCCTCTGTTTCATATTTTTGGTCCTCCTTTGGTGGTTAAGATTTTTTTTAATGCCTGCAGAGATCTCTGAAAATATGTCTCCAAGATGAGTCTGGTGAAGGGACAGGGCTACATGGCCAGGTGACTTTGTAAAATATATTTCAGCATCATGAAGCATTAACACCTCACTTGGGGTCCCCTTCCCCAACCCCAGAAAAAGTAGGACTCACACGATTTTCTCCACTCTGCCTTTTTTAGTTATGTTTTTGTAATGCTCAACTCCAGAGCCAAATCACAACTGTCCGGAGTGTGTGCGTTGCACGTTGCACTAGGAATACACCAGTCATGAAAGCTACACAGCAGGGAGCACAAACCACGAAAATGGGGAGAAGTGAACGCTGCATCAAGAGATGTCTTATAACGTTGCTGAGGTTGTTTTCATTCTGTTTTATATATTTCAAAAAACAGGAAGGGTCAACACAAACCAAAATAGGAGGAAAGGTGGTTGATATTACAAGCATAATTATTACTTCCTCTTTTTTGTGGTTGCCAAACTGATTTTATTTCTTGTTTTAAGTATTTTATCAGATTTGTATATTCAATATTGTAATTTCTGTGTATTTTAAAAAGATTTTTAAAGGAGCGGTACAGAGGACACTGGTAGAGAATGCTCTATTTAAAAATGTATGTTGTAAATTAAAAAAACACAGAGAAATGGTCTGGAATTCTGTTCATTTCTTACTCATTGGATAAGAAGGGGATGTTGTTTTCCTGAACCTATTTTTTTAAACTGTGTAATAAAGTACAGAAAAAAAGATCTCATCACATGGGTATTGCTTCACCCCAAGACATGTTAAAGTAACATAGGGTGCATCCCATTTTCAGCCAGCTCCTAAAAACGTCCGATTTTCCTTTGCTCCTCCAGCTGAAATGCAGAATTACAAAACTAGCTCCTTTACACTTTCCCCCATGTTGAAAAGCTGCTTAGATGATAACATCAGCATCAACATCAGCTACCAAATTTCTGCCAGTTTTGCAAATGCATCTATAAAATGTATTAGTTTGCAAGAGTGTTCGTTTTAAATGTCACGGCACCTTAAAGACGCTCAGCAAATTGTTCTGGCCTGAGCATTCGCGGCCCCTGAAGCACAAAGCATGTCCCGCAGATGGGCAGATCGAGGGCCTGTTCCCATGCGTGGTTCACCAGGGAAAAAGCCCTACCATCTCCCGTGCTGGCTGGAGAATGCTCGGAGCTGTGCGGATTTTTTTCTCGCTCAATAGATATGGGGCTGCATCCTTACATACACGTGCTGGGCTCGGCATGGTGCGAGAGATGCAACGCGTGTTGTCGGAGGGAAACGCAACGCACCGACACAGTTCGTCTTCCCTCGTGCACCAGTGCAAGTGCATCAATCCGCCGATCTGCGTTGGACTCTGCGCTGGCCCATGAAAGCTGGCCCCGGAATTTATCTGTTCTGCCTGCCCAGGTGCCGCTTTTTTCTTTCGTTACGTTTGTCACAGACGAACGTGGCTAACCCACCTGCAGTCCTAAGCATACACTGAGGAAGGAGTAAATTCTACTGAATCCAAGCCTTGTAAAGGCAGCGAAGATATCTGATCATGCTCAGAAACACTTTGTCTTCGCTTCATGTCAGGGTTGTGAGTAGAAAAAAACCTTCAGCTCTACCCATGCGTGAGAGCGGCACATGCTCAGAGGCACTTTGACCTTGGATGCTTTAAGGGGCAGGCGCGTTCTTCTCCAGCTGGTGGTGAGTTCGGCACATGCTCTGAGGCACTTTGACCTTGGGTTCCTTAAGGGCAGCAAGTTCTGCACGCACTCAGGGGCATCTTGAGCGCGAGTTCTCTCAGGGAAGACGCGTGCTTCTTGGACCGAGAGGGAGCTCTGCACATCCTCAGAGGCCTCTTGAGCGCCTCTCCTTTAAGGGAGGAAGCATTTCTCCCCGCCCGGGGGAGCTCCGCGCTCTGCCCAGGACGGCGGCTTGCCGTGAGGAATCGTACAGCGGCGAGCGGCGGGCGTCCACGAAGCGCTTCCGCCCACGATCAAGCGCGCGCGGGCGAGCTCCCTCAACGGCCGCCCCCGCTCGCTCGCGAGGGGAGTCAGATCAGGCCGCGGGGCTGGGCGAGGCTCTGATTGGATGGCAGAAGGGACTTCGCTCTCCGCCGGAGTCTGGCCGGTTGCCATAGCGAAAAGGGCGGAGCTTGTCCAACTATGGCCTTCCACTGGTTTACGTAATTTTCTTTAAGGAGAGAAGTGATTTATGATTCGTCGAGTGAGGATGAGTGGGAAGGCTGGATCTCGGTTGCTGTGGGACATTTCAACCAATCGCAAGCTCGGTGCGGCCAGGCACGTTGAAGGAGCGAGGGGAGGGAAAGGAGAGCTTTTATTTTTTTTCAGGGAAGACTCTCATTGGCTACAATGATTAGCCAATAGACGAGCCCGTCCCGAGTGACGGAGGCAGCCGTGCTTGATTTCATTGACCAAGGCGAAGTGTGCGGGCGCTCGCTCACGCTGCGCATGCGCCATTGGTGGACGGGCGGCCGTCGACGCTCTGGTGCGCAGCGTCGCCCCGAAGTCATGGAAGGAGGCGGCCCGGAAGGGTAGGCGGGGAGGCTGGGCCTGTGAGGACGCGGGCGCGGGGCATGAGGAAAGGGGCTCTGGCGCAGTGGTTAGGGCGGCCTGCCGCCGCCTTGGCATTTCAGATGAGTTGGGCTGCAGTTCCCAGCATGCGCTGGACAGCGTCGTGGGCTGGCCGGGGCATGCTGGGAGTTGTAGTCCTACACGTCTGGAAGGGGCAGGGTAGGAAAACAGGGTTAGTGCATTGGGCCTGGACTGGGGTTTCCAAAGTGCCGCTCCTCGTTTAGCCCTGAAGCCCAGCAGAGGATTTCAGGTCCGCCATTGGTTCTCCATCTGGCCTACCTCCAAGGGTTGTTGTGAGGCTAAACGGGGAAAGAGGAGGAGCTTCATGTGTGGTGCCCGAGGCCCCTGTCAGGGGAAAAGGTGGGATATAAAAGCAGTGAGTAACATGCAGCAGCTCTCAGCCTTTTGCACCCAGGGGCCTCCCGGATGCTCCGGTCTGCAACTCCCAGTGCTTCTGCCCATTGGCCATGCTGCTGGCAGCTCATGGAAGTTGCTGGATCCGATGGGGAGGGCTGATGCAGGCGGCGGGGGAATCCTGGGAGAGGGATATAGCTGGGGCTGTTTGTAGGTTCTCTGGCCAGAGGAGTCACCCTGGTCTCTTGCTCCCACAGGTGCCTGTCTATGGAAAGCTTTACCCAGCTGGCCGAAGCTGGCATCTCCAGCCCACAGTTCACTGCTGTCTGCTCCTGGCTGGTTTCAGAGCTCCGGACGCTTTGCCCACTGGAAGAGGTTGTGAATCCCACCCACGGTAGGCAGCCTGACTCGGCAGGGTGTAAAATATTTCCTTCAGCAGGAGCGCTAGAGGATGGAAGAGGTGTGAGCAGTAGCGTTGTGGAGCCAGGGCCCTCCAGAGCATTTTTGTAACGGGAAGGAACACTGCTATCTTTTCCTCCTTCCCCCAGAGTGTCCTTTTCCCTCTGAAAAGTGGCATCTGTTGGTTTGTTACGAATGAATTTGTGAAATGTACAACATTCCACTCTATTTCACATCACAAGGAACCTCAAGCATTTTTCCCTGCGGTGAAGTGCAGTATAACTGGACATCCATGAGAGGCCCAGTTCTGTCACCGCTGTTAGCACCAGGGAATAATGAAAAACTTAATTTTTAAGCATCTTAGAAGCAGCACAGTGATCATTAGATGCCACCATATGTTTGCCAAAAATAAATCCTGCTAGAATAATTGTCTACCTTTTTGACTTTTCACATTTACAGATGATACAAAGTGAGGCAGGATAATTAACACCTCAGAGGAGAGGAATAAAATTCAAACTGACCTTAACGGCAAAAGTAGCAATGTGAAATGCAGCAGACTCAAACGCAAACTTCTGCAGTTAGGAAAAACATCAAATGTGGGATGGAGCATACCTGACTGTGTGAAAAGGATGTTGGGATTATAGTTGTTCACGAGCCAAACAGGAGTCAGCAATGCAACGCAGCTGCGAAAAAGTCAGGTGTGATGTTAGGCCGTATTGCAGCAGCCATGGCTTCAAAGTCCAAGGAAGTACAGCGATCATGGCTTCAAAGTTCCACCTTATTCTGTGCTGCTACTCTCTCCTTTGTAGTACTGTAGTGCTGTGTCCAGTTCCTAGAGATACATGTTGATGTTTGTTTGTTTTATAACATAATGATGTACGGGGCTTACATCATTCTCCTCCTGCTGCTCTCAATCTGATCCCAACAACAGCCCCGTGAGGTGGGCTGGGCTGAGAGTCTGTGACTGGCCCAAAGTCCCCCAGTTGGCTCCATGGCCGAGTGGGGACTGGAACTCAGGTCGTCTGAGTTCCTGCGCTGTTAACCCGTACACCCCACTGGCTCTCTTGGTTCAGGGAAGTATAACCAAAAATTGTATTACATGATTTTTAATATTTGTAAACCACCCAGAGAGCAGACGGGGCAGTATATAAACGTGTTAGATAATAAAACAAAATCTTTCTGATGATGAGGTCGTCATTGTGAGCTGTTTCACTCTGTTAGGTCCAGAAGACGCCGAGACATTCCAGATTGAAGTGAGTGGCCTCCTCAGTGAGTTGTTCTGTCCATACCCCTCGCTGACCTCGGGGGACCTGAGGAGCAGGCTTCGCACCCCAGCCAGCTGCCTGCAGCTCTTATGTAAGTACAGCAAGGAGTGAGTCGCTCCAGACATTCCATGCAGGTGAGAAATGGAACACCTGGTTAATCACTCCTGTGGAACCTGGAGGCTTTACTGTTCGAGAATCCTTGGAAACTTGAAACACGTCGGGACTGAGAGTGATTTTAGGAGGCGGAGCGTGTGCATTGGTGTACTGAAGCCTTGCCCCTCCTGGTGCCCTTCAGATGTGTATGACTAGAGCCCACCTCTAGGAAACACCTTTTTTTTTATTCTACTCCTTATTCCACAAACTCATTCCTGGAGTGTCTGGCTGTCAGTGGCTATTAGTGGGACTTCAAAAGGGACCACCGGTGTTTAGGGACAGAGCCTGAGAACATACCACATGGGAAGTCTCTTTCCTTCCTGCCCTATTTGTGAGGTTCCCAGAAGCCTCTGGCCAGCCACCATTGGAAAAAAGAGGCAGGGAATGAAAGACGCCTTGGGCCAACCCGCCACACAGCTCTTCTTCTGAGCAGGAGTTTGTTTTCCCTGGCCGGAGCCTTGGAATCGGCCTTACACTGAGTCCATCCAGCCCGGGATTGGCTACGCTGACTGGCAGCGGTGGTGCTCCAGGGTTCTGAGCAGTTTTCCTGCCATACAGGGAGATGTCAGGAGGCAGGCCAAGGAGACTCTGCTTGCAAAGCCCTCTAGTGCTCTGTTGTCTCCTCCAAACAAGCTGTGCCTGACCCTGGCCTTTTTTGTGCAAGCCATCGCTTGCTGGCCGGCCCACAGAGGTCCCATTACTCCCCTTCCTTCGAGCATGGCATGGTGCCACCCCCTCCTTCTCCCCGTTCTGCACAACAACCAGGCGGTCCAGGGCTGCACAGAGGCCCAGTGGAGCAGCCCTGAAAAAGTCCGCAGCCCTGAGCCCCGTCCTCCAGCACTGCATGTGGGTGGCGTCTCAAGCCCTGTGGCTTGGACTGGGCCATCCCGTTTCCTCGGTGGGCCTGGTGGCTCAGAGGGGCTTTGGGAGTCCCTCATTCTGTTTGGTGCGCTAAGATTTTGGGCGCCGAGTGACTAATGCATTGGGCTCCCTCTTGCCGTTGAGCACATCCCTGGGGACTCCCCTCTGGTGGCCAGTGTCTCCCTGTAGGGCCCAAAAAACTTCAGCTACTGGGCAGAGTAGAAACAGAATAAGTAATAATCAAACAACGTGTCTCATGCCCACACAGTTGTTCTCTCGGCACAAGGTATGAAGACTTGCTCGTTCCTGCCCAGTTCCTATACAACTTTCTAGCAACTGTGGAAGTTCTGCATTGCTCTCCCTTTGTATTATCTTTGAATTGAAGCAATCTTTCCCTGTTGACACTTCCGAGAGCACTTGCACCTTGGAATGTTGCAGGGTATCACTTTCAAGATGTTAATCAGCTTCTCCCCGCCTGACATCCCACAGACTTCTTGAGCTCCGAGCTCCTTGCGGCCCGACTCCAAGCCCGTAAAAAGGGCCGCTTGCCTGAGGAGGAAGTCAGAGCTGCCGAAGCCGTGCGTGAGCTCCAGTGCATCTGCCAGTCCCTGGGAATGCCCAGGCCAGATCCGGCCTGCTCCATCCGCCAGATCATGGCGGATGTCGAATCCAAGGTGAGCCTAGCTGGATGGGGAGTGAGAGCTCGCTTGCCTGTGTGCCCTGTATTGGGGCTGGTGGCACTTTTGCTTCTGGCCTTGCAGGATGCTAAAAGGAAAAAAATGCCGGCTGTTTTGCTGGCGAAGGATCTGGGCTGCCTCTTTTTCTCCAGACATATACTCCAGGTCAGGGAAGCGGATGAGTTAGGGGTATTGGCAGGGGAGGTTCAGACTTCAAAGGCAGAAACTGTCCAACTGTGCTATGCAAAAGCTACTAGTGTGCTGGGAGAAATTATTAATTAATGAAGGGCTTTTGTAAAGGAACAAAGGCTAATCAGTGAACATCTTCTGGCTCTGTTCTTGCTTCCTCCCGGTAGTGGTGGCAGATATACTTACCTCAAGCATTTTTATTGTGCTCGTAAGCCAAGGAAAAGGCTTATAGCGTGGCTTATGATGAATCAGTAAACTATGACAGTCCCTGCCCAAAAAGGGCCCGGCACACGTCTGAAATTCATGCTAAGCTTTTGCAAACTTTTTTTCTGGAGTGATGAGGAGTGGCGCAGTTGTCCCGGGCGCCTTCTTCCTCGTTCCGTTTCTTGCCCCTCTGCATGCAGCCCGTCCCTTATGCTGCTCTGGCTCCACCCCAATATGCAACTTGTCTGTTTCTTTCTCTTTCCCAGACGGCTAAATTTGTGGTCTCCTCCTTAGATCTCGGAGGTAGTTTCCACACTACCCGCGCAGCGCCAGCAGATGGCACCACTGCTCAAGGTCCCACCAACCTCTAAGGAATGGGTACGGTCCCGAGTTTCCCCCAGACACCCTCGCCCTCCGGATGTCGCACTGGGCACAGTTTAGATGGCTTTCAAAGAGGGTCAGAAGACCCTCCATGGCTGCAAGCCAATGCATGCTAGCGGCTGGGGAGCATGGGTGGGAGGGTGCCGCCACATGTGGGAACTTGGTTGCCTGCTGCACAAACAGGCTGCAGGACGGGAAGAACTTGCTGCCCTCGTACGGCTCCTGGGAAGGATGGTTTTCCCAGCGTGTTTGTGGGTGCGCAGGGCCGTTGGCCCCGGACCTGTGCTGGCTGGAGACTGACCTGCTGCACCTTCCGCATCTTTTTGCCCTTCCCCCGCTCCCCCAAACGCAACACCAGGAAGCCTTGAAGGGCATCCAGGAAGCGCTGCAGGTGGAGTACCGGTGCCGCCTGCACATGATGATCACCCGCTTCGACGTCACCATCGCATCCTTCCATTGGTCCGAGAGGGCCAAGGTGAGAGGCCGGGGCAGGTGGCACAGGTGGCTCCGTGGCTTTGCCCTGCCTGCTCCCGGAAGTGCTTCGGAGGATGGGAGGTGCGCGCTGGCTTCTCTGCTGTGTCCGACGCCTGCCTCATTTCCTGTCACGTTTGTCCCTGCTAGGACCGGAGCGTGGCCATGGCGGAGGCCTTCAGGCCCCTGCGGGAGTCTTTCTTGGCAGACTCCCAGGTCACCCTTGCCCACTTGCTGGCGGCGAGGGAGGACTTCTCGCGCATCGTCAAGACCAGCAGCGGTGCCACCCGGGACAAGACTGCCTGTGCTGTCAATAAGGTACAGGCTAGGGAGGAAGCCCAGGCCCCTGAGGGTGGGGTGGGGTGGGGTGCCAGACAGCCCCCTGGGTGCTGCGTACAGTGGTTCTGCAGAATTGCTGACCACCAAACTGCGGGAGATCTGTGTCCATGAGCCAGACCACGTATTTCCCTCTTGGCATCGCTGGCTGGGAGCCCCAGGCTCCGCCCGGGCTGCCCCCACCCCGCCCCGCATGCTGCCTGTGATGGTGCCACCAGCTAATTGTCCCACCTCCCTGCAAGAGGCAGCTTTGCACGTCGGAGGGAAGAGCAGGAGGTGAGGGCCACCCCCCCGCCTGCTCCTCGCTGCCCCTGGAGTAATGCCACCTTTCCTCCCCACAGGTGTTGATGACCGGTGGCGTCCCAGACCGGGGTGGGCGTCCAAATGAGATTGAGCCCCCAATGCCTGTGTGGGAGAAGAGGCGGGAGGGGACAGGAGGCGGCCACCAACACCGGGGCAAGCAGGGCAGGAAGAAGAAGAAGTAAAGCCGGGATCCCGACATCCCCCACTTTCCCGCACAGGGTGCGGCCAGAGCTGCTCTCCCCTTCCCAGCGCTGCCTCCCCACATCAAGAACTGCATTCCTGGGATGGCGATGGGCTTGCGGCAAGTCGCAGCTGCCCTCCAGAAAGGCGCTTTTGGCGTTGCCTCTTCCCCCAGGTGGAGGGGAAGCATCTTTAAAATAAGCATGTGTTTCTGTGAGGGTTGGCACTGAGATGGCAGCTGTGCAACCTAGGTGTGGGGGGAAAAGACACTGTGAGGCACAGATGTTGGTGTCCCATTGCGGGACTCGGTGCCATATGGATTGTTCCTTAAGCTGATTTTGAGGGGAAGCGAAGTTACTAGACATTTCTTGGGATATTTGGAATCCAAACACTTCCTGCTTTTTCCGGTCTTTCTGGAAAAGTGGCCTGTATGTCTGGAAAAGGGTACGGCTGTTCTTTTTCCAGGCAAAATAAAAACACGTGGTATGCAAGGACACAGGAAGCTGGGCTAAAGTCTGGGTTTCTCCACAATATTTATTTTGAATTTGAGTGTTTCATAACTTGCCTTCCTGGAGTGTGTGAAAGAGAGCACCCTTCCCAGCTGGGTGTCCTCCAGAAGTATGCAACTACAATTCCCAGCATCCCAGCACATCAACGAAAGTATTGATAAGAATGTTGAGGCTGCCAGGTTGAGAGAGGCTGCTACAACACTAGCCAGTGTAGAAGGTGGGGATACGACACACAGGGCTCTGTTATTATCATGCCACAGCACCTATATCCCCCCTTTCCTCTTGCAGGGAACCCAAGGTGGCCTGCCCCCGTCTCCTCCCCCAACAGCAGCCTTGTGAGGTAGGCCAGGCTGAGAGTCTGCGACTGGCCCAGGGTCACCCAGTTGGCTCCATGGCCGAGTGGGGCCTGGAACCCAGCTCCCCTGAATCCCAGTCCAGCATTCTTAACCGCTCCACCACACTGGCCCTCTAATCCTGCAGACAGACAAGGCTGCTTTCTGGGTTCTACAAATGAGCGCTTCTCTTGCGGATGAGGCCACCTCTTGGGGGTGGGCAGGGAGGCAGAACGGAAATCGCAGGGCAGGATTCGGCACAACGCAGGTGTCGCTCTTGAGATGACACTTTCTCTTTCAGTTGGAATACTTCGTGCAAAGGTACCTTTTCTTCCGTAATATAATGTTTCTGCCTCCATCCCATTTTCTTTTGCTTTCGGTTGGTGGTTCTGGGAGATACGGTGCAACATGTCGTGTTTCCAAAGGGGCTCAGATCTCTTGCTGTCTCCAGCCCTTTGCAAACAGAAGGGCACAGGGTGGTCAGCGAGGTGACTGTAAATGGACTGGGAAGCCCACTCTCAGCAAGAAGACAACTTGATTTAAAATTGTAGCATCCCTATTTTGTCTCTTTCCAACAGGCCATGTTCTCGACTGCCCCAAACAGACAGGGTTGGGGGAGTGAAGCAGAGAGATGGGGCGCATAGAAAACAAGGCAGGAGACAGAAGAAATATTGAAATTTATCTGATGTTTCCATGCCTCGCTCGATCTCTCCCTGCTGCCCCACCATCAGTTTCATGCTTGAGGCGGTCTTTTCCCCACACCGATGCCTCTACTTTGGTCTTGGAGGATCCCAGTTCATCCACGTCCGGGAAGGGGTCTCTTGGCATACACACCCCATTTTTTATAGGTGGCTGCAGGGAACATTGGTTGACAAAAGTGCCTTCTAGGAATCAAAGATCGCCTAAATAAAGCAACCCGGATGGATCAAGCAAGTGAGTCAAGCTGCATCCTACATTCAGCCACAACGGCAGCAGCTGTCATAAAAAATGCACATGCAAAAAACTGCCAGGATGCGCCGTCCAACGAGCAACCCCTTCTCTTCGCTTCCTTGGCATCTTCCACTGGCCCCTTGTTCAGTTGGGCTTGTGGGAACTGCAGACAGTCTGTTCTTTCCGGCAGGAGAGTCCTGGAAGGCTTGCCGCATCTGCCTTCAGCAACCGGCTGTTCTCCAGCTCCAGTTGTGAGTTGCGCCTCTGGAGGCACTGATTGGCGATTAAGAGTCTGTCCCGTTCCTGTAAGACACAGCAAGCCTTGGTAGCGTCAGCTTAAAAAGCACCAGACTCTTGTGGTGAAGCCAGGCTCGCAGAAATGCAGATGCCAGCACTTTTTCATGACCCAGGAAAGCCGGGAGGCTTCCCCATCCCTCTTGAGCTTGGCTGACGGCAGCTGGGAGGAAGTGCATTTCCCCCATAACAAGGCATCCTTCCCAGCTGCTGTGTCGGGTATTTTGGACTGGCTTGCTGGAGGTGAAAACGGATGCAACCGGTTTGCCACCAAACTCGCCACTGTACCACTGCTTTGTCGCGGCTGCAAGAGACGCAAGGGAGCAATCGGTGTGAGGCATTTTCAGCAGTGGCACGTGGCTAGCAGCGCTGGGCCAGAGGTGGCCCGCCACTCACTAGCTCCGCTGACCATGCCCCTTGCCTCAGCACGGGACAGACTGGACTGGCTGTGCTTGCACAGGGCCTGTCCCAGGGCTGAGGAAGCCACGCTCCTTTTGTGCAAGAGCCACAAGTGAGGGGACAGCTTGAGCCTGGCCCCATGAACCGTGGCCTCTTTGCAGAGGCAGCTTTCGAGCTGGGTGTGACTCTCAAAGAGGGGAAGAGGTTGCAGTGGCACTGGGTCCTGGGAGGGGAGAGCGACCTAGCGGGAAATTGGGACCACACGGAGTGGCCGAGACGGACTTTCTGAGGCAGAAAGTCTGCTAAGGGCACCCAATGCTGGAGCCCAGGGCTTACTGGTGTGTGTGAACCCTTCACTCACTCTGACCTCCAGGCCATGCTGGGGGTGGCACAGGAGGTCCAGACATCTGTTCTTGGCCTTCTCCCACCCCAGCAGAGCTTACAGCAGTTTTCCAGGAGAGGTGAAAGGGTAGCCATGAAAAAGGATGCGTGTGCTCCCACCCCAGAGCAAAACTTTACTGTTGTTGGATCCACCCACCTTGTTACCTGTAGCTCAGCTCTAATCTGCTTGCCTGTTCTTGTTCCACAGACCTCCAGAATCTCCCTAGAAAAGCCTCACCTTTTCCAGTTCCTTCAGCTGCTCCAGTAGCTGCTTCTGGCTCTTGCCGTGGCCGCCAACCCCTCCCTGGCGCTCTTGCAGTCTCTCAGCCATGGGGCTGACAGCCTCCGTTTGGGTCGAGGCGTGTCTCATCGGCCGGCAGCTCGTGGCGCTTCCCAGGCTGAGAAGGGGGCTCTTGACCTGCTCCCATTTGGGTGGGAAAAGAAAAGTTTCTTCCTCGGAGCCTGCGGCACAAGAGAGGCATGGTTAGCAGCGTAGCCTACCAGCATGGCAGGCCGTTCCCGCAACTCGCGCGGAGGTGAACCCCGAGGCTGCAGCAGAAATCTACACAGGTGTTAAGTTCCGCAGCTGGTCCCGTCTGCATCCCTGGCTGGAAGATCAGCTGGGCAGGAAGGAGGTTTCAGAGGGAAACGGACAGGCATTTCCTACTGCAGGTTGTGCTACCAACCTCAGTCTGCAGGAGGGCAATCTACTCTGCAACCAAGGCACTGCTGCTGCATTTCTCCTAAAGCGGGGCCTGCAACTTGTGGCCTTCCGGGTGTTTCGATCCGCCACTCTCCCAGCAGCCCTAGTCAGCGACATCAGTGCTGAGGGATTGTGGGAATTGCAGGCCAAAGCTGCTGGAGGACCAAAAGCTGACCACTCCCGTCCGAAAGTAACATCCAAGGTCGCACAAGGGAAAGGACTGCCTTTTGCTTTTAAGCATCTCTTAGGAAAGATTGTAGATTACGTGACTCCAGGCCGCTCCCGTTTCCCAGGCTGCCCAGGGATTCCAGGTTTGTGCCCACAAGCTTTTACCTGAGCTGGGGTGAAGAGTGCCAGCTGGCGTTGCGATCCGAGGTGTGCTGCTGTCGGAGGCACTGGAGTGCAAGCGCCTCTGGCACTCCACCTCCACCTGGTCCTTGCACTGCTTGTGGCAGATCAGGCCACAGTCTGTGGGGGAAGAAGCGAAAAGCTGCTGAAGCCAAGCGTGGGGAAGACTCGGGCGAGGTCTGCAAATGCGGCCCACGCAAACTGCCTGGCGATTCCCTGTGTGGGCTGAGACTGCTGGGGGATGCAGGCTTGTCTCCTGTCAACACGTGCACAGGAGAGCATCTCTAGTAGCCTCTTAAGGTGAGTTTCATCACACCTGACAGCCTGTACAGGGTCACAGAGCTGCCCGTGAGCAGATCTTTAAAGGAATGGTGCGACTTGAGCCTAGATGGGCACCATTTCCTTAATATTTCTTTGCCCTTAAGACACGTTGCAAAGGAACACAGTGCTGAATTTAGGGCTATTCTCATGGCAATGTCGATTTTCTAGTTGCAGAGACTTTTACAGACATTGGAGAGCACTAAACAGTATCTACCCCCTGTGGCAATCTCTTCTGCCACACACGCGCACACACACACCCGGCCTTTCCTGCTTCACATGTCGTCCCAAGCGCAACAAGAATGCCATGATTGGCAACTGTGCTGCTTTGCGGAAAAGCCAGACGAAGCAGGTGTGGGCATAGACGGGGTACGTTTTCAGGTGACGGAATGACAGCCCATTATATGATCATAATACATAAATAACGACAACTGCAGACCAGCCTCCTGAACCTGAATACTGAACTTAAAAACTGGTGTTGGGAAAGAGCCTGGGTCACAAGGCACTGAAAGGTAATATCCCATCTGTTCCTGCTGCAAGAGCCATCTTGACACATCCCAGCGAGCAGCAGAGTTGGGGTGTGCTGCTCTCTATGCTGCCCTTTCGTGCCCAAGGGAGGGCATGCTTACCCCGGCATCGGTATCCTTGCTTGGAAACTCCCCAGAGCTAGGAGGACAGAAAAGAAAGAGGTGTTCGTTGCAGTAATATTCACCATTGTGAAGGCCAGCCCAGTACCTTCCCCAGATCTGAGGAAGACACACACACAGACATATGTACAAGTGCAGGAGAAGAACTGGGTTAATGTGGGCCCGGGGATGTGGCTTTCCTGTTTCAACGGTGTTACAATTCACAGAGGTTGGATTCTACGTATGCTGTGTCCATCATAGAAATTTCTGCTTTTTGATCTGAAAGCGTGTTTCTAGGCCTCATGGCTGCAGAGGCTGAAGGCCCATGTCGGTAAAGAGAATCTTGACTTCAAAGGTCTCCTGCCTCGGAGCCCTGGTCCTTTTCTATTCCACCCCACCTGCTGCTGATTACCATCAGCACTAGGTGCCCCATTCCAGCTTGCTTCCTACTGGGGCTGCTCAGTTCTGAGTGTGCGATTGTGTACGCAGGAATCTCGGAGGAGCAGCCGCGGTTTCTGTCTGTGCAAAGGACTGAGTGGTGATCTTATGCCCAGAGCTGCAGACTCACAAAGCCATTGCAGCTGTCGCAGAAGGTGGGCTTCTTGAAGGTGGCCTCCTGGAAGTTGTGCGAGAAGCCGAGGCTCAGCTTGGAGAAGATGGCACAGGCCCGCATCAAGTACTCCGAGAGCTCTTCCTGGCTCCAGGTTCCCTCGCTGCGGACGGGGAGAGGCACACGGTGAGGCTGTGGTCTAACTGCCTGGCCTGCCACACTTTTCTCCCCGCAAACACGGAACCTGACTCCTGGCCCCCTTCCTTTCCGGCAGGCTCGTCTCAGACTAGCGGAGAGATGTGCCCCCACCCTGCAGAGTCCTTGCTTAGGATTCAGGGAGTTTATAAGGGGCATCAGCCCTCTTGGGTCTCAGTTGTCGCCTCAGGTGAACCAAGGACAATGCCCTGCAGCTGCTCGCTTCAGGCACCGCGGTGTTTGTTGCTCCTAAGCCACTAGCAATCTTGCCAAAGAACCCACAATGAACTTTTCTCCTCCTACAGGAAGCTCTGCTGTCACGAACTTAGGCCTGCTGTCTGTTTGCAGAGCTGTCGCTGGCACTCCGTGGACTGGAGTCCTCTGACCATGGCTAGGATGGCCACTTGCCCTCTTTTACACAAGACAGTCTTCTGTTGGAAGGGCTGCCCTGTCCAATGGCAAGTTAAAGATGAAAGAGAGATCTTGGCCACTGGCATCTGAACAGGAGCATCTCGTCCCTTCCCCACTGTAGTGACACAGACTGTATTTCTGTTTTAATAATCACGGCTCAGTTTGCATCTCTGCTGCACTGTAGCATAAGAAAGGCATCCGCTTTGGCCTCTCAGGATTCATTTCCTTTCCCTAGCAATTCATAAATGGCCGCTCTCGCCCAGCCTACAGAGCTTTAGCTGCTTGGCACCATGTGCGGCAGGGCTGTGCTGCTTGCAGGGATGGTGGACTCTTGGATTTCTGGGCCCCCTTGGCCTAAATGAGCCACTGGCACGATCTAGGGGCCTCACTCCCAAAGAAGCCCAACACCCAGCACCCGTGGGCCTTCCAGCTTCTTTCCACACCGCAATGCTTACCGCTCTCTTTCCAGCCCACTGAAAGAGAAAGGGAAACTTGTGGAAATCCTCTCAAAGTCCTCCTGAGAGATGTAGCCCCGTTGTTCAGGATCATAATTCTTGAACACAGACTAGTGCAAAGGAGAGAGAGGAGAAAATTAAGCCTCGTGGAGATGACTCAGGAAAGACTGGGGTGCCAGCCCCTGAGCAAGTCTGGGCATTTTGTTTTCCCCCATTCTCTGCATGGCCCTTGACCGAGAATGAACTAACCAGTCCCTGCCTAGATTGGAGGGGACAGCTTCCTTTCCAGTCAACTCAGTGGCGAACGGGCCTAAAGCCATCCCTGGGGAAAACCAGAGTTACAAGTGGGTAGGTTGCCCCCTTTCTCCCTTTTTGCCACCACTTTGACTCTTCTTACTCATGGAGCAGGCTGTTAGGGAAGAGAGAGGTGGCTCTTGCCCGAGATCTGGACTGACTGCACCCGGAGGGCTTTTGAAATAAGTCCAAGGGCTGCAGGTCACCCACCTACAATGTAGGTAGCTATTGACACAGGGAAACGACAGAGGAAGGCAAGTGTGATGGGAAAGGACACGTGCCAAGAGCTTCTAGTCATATCTCCTCAGTCTGGACTTTTAGGGGGTTTCTGTGAGAGACCAGTTGGAAGCAATACTATGTGAAGGATGGCACCTGGTTTGAAAACAGAAAAAAGCTGGAAAGTGAGTGGTGACGCCTGGCGAAATCTCAGAATGCCGGGATCCATGGATCCATTCAGCTCAGCTTTCTCTGTACTGATTGGCCACAGTTTGCCTTCCCAACCTAGGAACTATTTTCCAAGGAGTCGTCACAACGGTTCCCACCCTTCCCCAGCTGCCCCCCTTTTCAGGGACATGGCATGCCTCCAGTGCTAAATCTCCATTAGTTAATTCAGCCTTTGAATATAAGCACTATTCTATATCAAGTCAGAGCTTTCAAAGTAAGTGGAGGACGGGCAGAAGCAAAGATGCACGCTAGGAATCACCACTCCCGACACAAATGCAGTTGACATACATGCTTCGGCTTGTCTGCCCAGCAGTCTGAGGGGAAGCTGAGCAGCCTCAGGCCAGGAGGGGAAGGGGTGAGACCCTGCTGCCGCCTTAAAAGATCTCCCCTCTGAAACTGCTTGAGACACTCTAGGGTCCTGTGAGGACTGTTTGACCCAAGCTGCCCAGGTTCACACGATGCAGCAATCTACGGCACATTCCCACCGTGGCTTGTGTATTCAAAATGGCGGCCAGTTTGCACTCACGAGGGTAATTAACATGGCATGCCTTCAGTGAAACCTGGCTTAGGGGGCAGTAGGGGCTTTGGTGATGTGGGGACGTGAGGAGAGGGTGCGGAAACTCCTCCGGGGGTGACCACGGATTTGTGAAGGGGCAGCAATAGTGGGATCTCTTACGCCGTGGTGCTCCAAAGCAAGTATACTTCACTTGCAACTGCAGAAGAGGAAGTGGGTAGCCTGGCCGGATTTGAGCCTCTTCCTTCACCAGAGGAGCGCATTATGGTGAAGAGGGAGGAGAAGAGCAGGCACCGGCCCTGCTGCTGGGGGGGGGGGGCAGGGGAGGCCCAGCCTGCTTTCCCAGCTCAGCACAACTTGGCACCCGATCGCAACCCGCACCTGCCAGCCACAAGTGACGTGTGTGTGGGGTTGGCGGGCAGGCCAGAAGTCCAGCAGCAGAGGAGGCGCACTCGTGGCATGACGCAGTGCGGGGCTGGGGAAACCCAGGATCAGCCCCTCGGCACCACCCTGCAGTGCAGGGGATGACCGTGGGGTGGGAAGCTAAAACGGGAGCGGGATGACCGTCACCCTGTGCTCCTGGAAGCGGGGGCGGCCGGGATGTAAATCTGACTAATGCCATATGAAATACGTTGCTGAATGTTCCGTTCAGTTCTGCATTTCCAGTAAGCTGATGCTTTGAGTTGACGAGAGAAGCTAAAGCGGCCCGCCTGGGCCAGCTGTGCTGGACTACAATTCCCAACTGGAGGATGTTGGCTCACGAAAGACTGAACGGAGGCGTCTGGAGCATCCGTCGGGAGTGGTACGGGGCCTCTGCTTTAACAAGCCTCAAGGCTAGCAGGGGCGGAGAAGTCCTTGCTGGCCGGCCCTCGGCTTTCCTCGCAGGCCCAGCCGCGGCCGTTCTCACCTCGACCATTTGCTGGACGTGCCTCTTGATGGTGGCCTGGTCCAGCTTGGGAGACACTCCGGGCACCCACTCCACGACCACAGGGGGCTTGAACTGGGTGGGGGGCTGCGAAAAGAAGGGGGGAGAACGGGCAGTTTGAGGCAGGTGTGGGCGGGAAGCAGAGCTCCAGGGGTTTGGTCCTTCAGCCCCCTGCACAGCTGGCAGTGGCCCGTGCTGGCAGGCGCTTTGGGAGGCAGGCCCGAGCCACTGGCGAGCCGGCCTTCTGCCCACCCTGGTGCAGCTGATGGGACGGTGGGGAGGGCCAGGAAAGGGTGTCCCCCTCTCGGCCATCTCTTACCAGCGTCTTGGGACACCGGGGCTCGCGAGCATAGGAGAGTGCGTAGATCTCCTCGTCCGTGTAGTAGAGGTCCAGGGAAAGCTGGGAGAGGGAAGAAAGTTAAACGGGAAAGAGGACCGTGCACAGGTATCAAATTCATGTGGGCCAGGGATTGTCTCCCCCACCCGACCTGTTTCCCTGCAGCTGTCTTTGCCCAAGGACAAAGCAAACTGCCTGTTGCAAACCAGTGACCCCTCTGCCTATGGGGCAGAGGCCAACAGGGCAGGGGGCAGCAAGGGAGGGGAGCAAGCCCCCTGCAGCAGCTTCCCTCCCCAGCAGAAGCAGGCCTTCTGGAGAGCCGACGGCGCTCCCTCACCCCGCGAGAGGGAACCGTCCCCAGACGCTTCGTGTGGGCACAGCCGTGTGGCACGCGAGCCGGGAGGGCGCCTCTGCCCCTTTGGCGGGGGAGCGGTGGCGGGGGGGCACAGGAGGTGGGCCCCCACCTGTCTGGCCACAGCTCTCCCGGAGTCTGAGATCACGTGAGGGGCTGCCTCAAGTTCCCCGCAGTCATCGCTGAGCAGCCGCCCGGGGCTGCGGTGACTGAGTCACTCGCCGGCCTCTGCCGGGCGTGTGGTGGCTGCCGGGCGACCTCCCGGCACGCAGGGGCTGCCCCACCGCCAGGCTGCTCGGCAACGCAGCCCAAACACAGCAGCCCTCGCCGTCACAGCCCCACACAGGCCGGTCCCTGCCTGCCCTGGCCGCTTCCTCGGCTCAACTGGCGCCAGCCCCAGGGTCTGAGCAGCCTTGGGCGAGACGCCCGCCCCGTGGGCCTGCTCCCTCAGCACGGCCGCCTGCCTGCCTGCCGCCGCCGCCACTGGCCCCGACTCCTCCCGCACCCCACACTGTCAGGCGCCGTGTGAAAACACACGGGCCACGGTGCATGCGAGGGGCGGCCAGGTCCAGGGACCCGCTCTCCGCTGGCCCTGGCTGGGGGGGGGGGGGCGCCACGTTGCACACAGCGCCTGCCCTTGACGCGGCCCTCGCGGCCGCCTTGGCATCCCCGGGCCGCTGGTGCGGGCAGCTTCCTCGGAAAATGCCCCGGGGGACGTGTGGGCCCCCCTCCGAGGGCCCGCATTCCTCCTCCAAGCAGCCCCCCTTCAGAGCTAAGTACGAGAGGACTGGAAAGCGCCCCCGTCGGCCCGAACAAGGGAGCTCGCCTCACGATGCCGAAGAAATGGTTTCATTCGTGGAGAAGGCCAGCCATTTTTTTCAGCATCTTGAGACCGGCTCCCTCCTTTGAGGCTCGTTTTGGGAGGTGCGTGACTCTGACTCTTTGTTTTTAGCAGCTTTTACTCAGAACTTTATAGCGCCCTGTCAGGTGCTCTGTGCTGGTGGACCTGTCTTGGGGGTGAGCTCAGCCACGTGGGAAGCTCCTACAAGGCTCAGAATAAAGGCCGCCACGGATAAGGAGCCCCTCTTATGTCGGAGCCCCTGGCCTCCCCGGTGGTCCAGGACCGTCCCTCACAGTGAGCAGGTGCACCAAGTCCTTGTTGGCCTGGAACGGCGGCTTCGCCTGCTGCAGCATCCGCAGCTCCCATGCCGGCTCGTACAGGCTCTGCAGTTTGCTCAGGTTGAGCCGCCCGCCATCCACGCGGTCGGGCAGGGCCTCGTGCCGCGTCACCAGGTCCTTCAGGTGGACACCGACGATGGGGATCTTGAAGCCCTCGCAGTTGGCGTAGGCCCGCCGGTACGTCCTGTAATTTCCAGATGAGGAGAGCAAGTCCGTCATCTCGGACAGTATCTGGGCGGGGAGAGCAAAGTCCAGGACAGTGCGTCAGCGTGGAGGCCCAGGCCCCGTTTCAGCCCCCGGGTGTATCTCGCGCCTTCCCGTGCGCAGCTCTCAAAATGGCTGCCGAGAGAGCCGTTCTGGCCGCCATGCCTGGAGTTGCTGGGGGCTTGCTAGTTCTCACATTCAGGGCCCAAGGCACAAATCCACACCACGAATGGACACGTGGGTTTATTTCTACATATGGCAACATAGAAATACTCGCTTGAACATACTTAAAGGTGCAAGGAGGCAAAGCCAACCCATTAATTGCTCAGCCAAACCAATGTACCAAACAAAAGGCCTTCTTCAGATCACTCGCCCTCTGCCTGAGAGCATCATAAACCAGTGGGGAAAGTTTCTCTTTTCTTCTGAGCTTCATCATCATGCCAGCAAAGACCGGGGTGGGTGGGTGTCGCAAGGCCAGCCCTTCCCTCCCACCGCTAGCCGACCGACTGCCCAAATGAGGTGGGTGCGAGGCCCGGTTCCTTACCTTGGTGACCTCGGAGGGAAGATGGGCATGTGTGTCCTTCAGGCGGGCGATGGTGCTGTGGCAAAGCCCCCCCACAATCGCCATGAGCGTGCTGAAGTTCTGCAGTTGTTTTAGCTTCTGCAAAGGGGTAAAACGGTGGCTGAGGTGGGAAGGGGTGTCTGCCGTTCAAAAGTCCCCGGTGAGAGCTGCCTCGCTCTCCTCCTCCCCACAGCTTCTCATTTGAGAGGACTTAACTCGCATTCTAAGCTACGTGGGAAATCTGCGGCAGAGAGGCAGTGTGCCACCGTCCCAGAGAGGATGAACTTTGTACATGTTCGTAGGAACTCTACTCTCTAACCGGCAAATACATAGGTAGATGGTTCCCCACTGATGCCCCATTGATGGCGGCCTTTGCTGACATGGGGCTCTCTGGATGCGCTGGACACAGTTCCAGCGTCCCTCAGCCAGCCAGGCAAGGGCACCTGGAATGCACTGAGCTCAGGAGGAGTACTGTGTAGGGTTCCCAGCCAAGCAAGCACAGCATTCCCAGACTTGGGTGGAGTGGGGATGGTTGGTCATGGGACAGGTGCCTGAAAAGCAAGACCGATCCCCATGCACTAGCATTTAGCCATTTTTAAAAGCAGTGCCATTTGAGTGGCTAAACAACTTTTGTACTATTTATTTATTTAAAGCTTTTATAGACCATCCACCACAAGTGTCTTGGGACAGTTTTACAATAAAAGCAACACAAAATAAAACAGAGCACAGCATCCAGCTTCTAGATCTTGGTCTGCTTCCAGAAGCTGCAGAGAACATGTCTGGTGCATCTTTTGCATGGCGGGAAGACTTCTGTCTTGTCTCCCCCTAACCATCTTGAGCCTAAACCTACTCAGCTCTTTCCTCGCAGGGCCCAGCGCGGAGGACATCCCACCCCCTGTTCCACAGCCGGTTCCCTCTCGCAGCAAAGCAGACCGCAGCCCTCGAACCTGCGTGACGTGGATGAACTTGGCGAAGACTTCTGCGCGCTGCTGTGGCGTCGGGCGGTTGAGGATCATGACCTGCACCCACTGCGAGATGCTGTTGCACAGGGCGATGGCGCGTTCCAGGGCGGGGCTGCCGCGCACTGACCCACGCAGAACGTAGTTCTGGAAGTCCAGGTACTGCCCCACGCAGAATGAGAAGACAGGAGAAATGGTCTTGCCGAGTCAGACATCCCGCAAGAAATGGTCTTGCTGAGTCAGACATGTCTGAGTCAGATGTGAAGGGATGGGAGGAACCCCTTTTGGGAAGCCCAGCAGGCCAAGTGACACCGGGGTCCTGCCCTGAAGTCCCTCCCCTGCCATGGTGTCGTCAGCTGCTTCCTACCCATTTCCCCAGCCCTAAATCTAACCTTCTGTTTTCAACCGGCCAGCCACGTGATCAGTCAGAGAATCTCACAGGTGGGTCACAAAAGGCATGTGGACACAGACACACACACACACACAGGGCCCCCGATTCCTTAATATCCGAAATAGACCACCCCTGGATGTCACAGGCGTCTTTGAACTAGTTTTACATTCTCTGCATTCTGTTTGTGAACTACTGCCTTGGTCAAATATCCCCCTGTTTCCTACAGTTCTTGGGTGCTGAGGCAGGAGACGGTCTGCTTCTCAGGTCTGGCATGGCTGAAAGTCATCCTCCCCACACCCCCACTGTGTGCGGGCCGGTTGAGTTTCCAACTGCCCATGGAGATAGCGTGGTTGGAGCCAGGCATGCCCTGGCTTCTGGTCTGAGATGGCATCTCTCTCGAAACCTGCCGCAATGGCCAGACCGCAGCACGTGTGCGTGCAAGGAGCCGGAACACTCGTGCTGCCCCCGAGCAAGCCTTGCCCTGGGGTCGTTGCCCGCTAGCCGTGCTTCCGCCGGGATGGCAGCAGCGTGTCTACCGCAGCAGCCGTCGCGAGAAAGCTAGCCGAGGAAGGACCAGCCGAGGAAGGACGTGCACTGAAGCCGGGGCAGCTTCAGTGCACGTCACCCACCAAAACCTGGCTATGGGCATTGCCCAAGGAGGTTTGACTGTACAACTGCGTGATCTTGGTCACAGTATTTGGATGGGTCCTCAGTTAGCAACTCCATCTACCATTTACAGCACCCCCGTGTCATCCCACAATTTTGTTTGGAATCAGAAAAAATCCATTAAGGAGGAAAAGGTGGAATCGCTGCACACTGTCTTTTGGGTGCAGGCAGTCCCCTGTCTAGAAGGTGCTTGCAGATTAAAGATCCCTACTGCACTACGCAGCTTTTGACCTAGTTCACACAACACAACAAGCCAGAGCACAGATTGAATGAGTTGTCACTGAACCGTGGGTCGTTCTGTGAATGTAGCTGTGCTCACCAACTATGGTTTCTGGAGCTCAAATAAACCCACACTTCACAACCCAACAACAAACCATGGTTTGTTAGCCCAGCTGGGTTCACACAACACAGCAGCCCATGATTCAGTAACAATTCATACTTGAAGTCCTATACAACCTGCACCTTGGCTTGTTCTGTTCACTTTGTTTGGAAGGCACCTGAGTGACGAAAGTTTTTATGTCCATACAGCTGTCTATCTCTGCATCAATTGCAATTGGACGGGTTAAGTCCAGAATACCTGAAGGATCACCTCCTTCCCTACAAGTCCTCACACCCCTTAAGATCAGCGGGGGAGTCCTTGCTCCAAGAACCCTCCCTGAAGGAAGTGCGGAGGGTGTCTACTTGGAGAAGGGCCTTCTCCACAGTGGCACCGAGACTATGGAATCTGCTCCCCAGAGAGGTCCACCTGGCACCAACATTATACTCTTTCCAGCACCAGGTAAAGACCTTTTTATTCAACCATTATTTTCATTACCAACGGTTTCAGATGTTTTAGGATTTTCCCTTCATAGTCACACTTTCTATTTTTTCCCTCCTTTTTCTTAAGTTCATGATGTGTTTTATATTGTTTTAATAATTGATGTTTTATATTGTATTTTTGTATTTTATATTGTACTTTTATATTTCATAAGCCGTCCTGAGATATAAATGTCTGTAATAAATAAACAAGCCCTTTCCCCTTGCCTACCGATAGCCGGCAAAAGGCCTTGAATTCCAGGAAGGTGAGGTGGGCGGCCAACTCCGTTGCATCGAGGTGATCGAAAAGCAGCGAGACCTTTCGCTTCTTGCCGCAGCCAGGACTGCCTTGACAGCTGAGCACACGCTTCCAGGTATGGGTCACCCTGGGAAGGAACAATGCCAGAAGCCCACGTTAGGGGTGCTGCACCCCCAAACCCTCCACATGCTCAGAGGAATTTGCTGTTAGGTGCCGTCAAGCCATCTCTGACTTAAGGCGACCCTGTGAATGAAAGCCCTCCAAAGTGGCTTATCCAGGCAGCACTGCCAGCTTTTGCAAATTCCGGCTTGTGGCTTCCTTTATGGATTCAGTCCATCTCTTATTTGCCTTCTGCTTTTAACTTTCCCTAGCACGCTGGTCTTTTCCAGCGATGTACTTGAAGCATGACAGCCTCAGATTTGTCGTTTTTGCTTTGACAGAAAGCTCTGGCTTGAGCTCAAAGAAATCCTTGCCTGTAAAAGCTGAAGGTTCCTTGAACATGGTAAATTAGCATGGCTGTGGTTTTGATTGGCAGTGGAAAGACTGGGAAGCCAAAACTGCTGGGTTTCACATGCAATTCTGGCGCAGGAAAGGATTCCCAGAAGAAGGGGAATTGAGAGCCAAGGCACCAGAGGTTCCTCGCAGGGCCCGGAGCGGAATCAGAGATACGGATTCCCGGCTTCACCCCACTCCACCCCAGCCTCCTGGGAGCCCCATTTGCTTCCCTTTCCCTGCCTTAAGATGCAGAAGTGCCTTTGAGCCAGGCAAACTCACGTGCTGGACGTGTCAAGCAGGCGGCATCGATCCGTGTGGCCTTCTTTCCTCACCACCTCCAAGATCTCCGCAATGCCCTCCTCCAGGTGCGGGTCCAGGTGAAAGGCCTCGGGATAGTTCACCAGCCAGTACCTGAAGCCAGAGCGAGAGGTTCAGCCTGGAGCTGCAGGAGTCCCTCTCCCTGCCAGGATGGGGTGGGGGTCAGAGGAGGGGTGTGGGGAGAGCGCAGACCGAATAAAGTGGCAGATCCTCAGCTGTCGCTCCGGTCGTCTCTCCTGGGATGCGTCCTTGTATGTAGCAAGCAGCGTTAAGGGTTAATTACTCTCAAGTGGCATAGTAAAATGCTCAGGAGTTCTCAGATCCTGGCCAGTGGTAAAGGCATAAATACTGAAAGGCCCATACTCACAGAAGGGTCCCGAACTGCAGGCAGAGATGTTGATCCATCTCAACAAACACTTACAAGGTTCGCCTCCTCTCCATCTTATCCCCACAGCAACAACCCTGTGAGATAGGCTGGGCTGAGAGTCTGTGACTGGCCCAGAGTCGCCCAGTGGGCTTCATGGCTGAGCAGGGACTAGAACCCAGAGCTGGGCACAAAATGACGCATGGTGCAGAGAAAGGGTATAGGGAGACATTTTTTCCCCCTCTCATACTACTAGGGCCCAGTTGGGTTGTCCCATGTGGCTGATGCGTGGGAAATTCAGGACAGATCAAAGGATGGACTTCTTCACATGGCACAGAGCCAAACTATGGAATTCACTTCCACGAGATGTGGCGACAGACATCAATTTGGGTAGCTTTAAAAGAGGGCAGGACAAGTCACGGAGGAGCTGGCCCTCCGTGGCTACCAGTCCTGATAGCTCTGTGCCACCTGAGAGAGTCTGTCTCGGTATACCAATTGTTGGGGAAGATGGTGGGATGGTGACGTGGCCCCCAATGTCCTTCTTGTGGGACCCTGTGGCCAGCTGGCTGCCCCTCTGTGAGCAGCATCCTGGACTGGGCAGACGGGGCACTTCCTCGGCTTTGGCGAGTCTTGGTCCCGCACACCTGGAGGGGAGCCGCTGGGGAAGGCCGCCTCCAGGTATGCTGCTCGGACACCGTCTCCCCCTTCTCAGAAGAGGTTCCCTTTCTGGAGCCCACAATGGGGAAGTGATGGGAAGGGGGCACTTCCTATATTCAGACCAGAGTAACCAGAGCTATTCTGGAAAGGATATAAAGTCAGGAGGAGATGAGCCAACTCGGTAGACGGAACTACCCAGCTGTGGACTGTTAATGTCATGTTTACCATGAAGTCGCTGGTGCACAGCTTCCCCTCCAGATCTAGAGGAGAAGAAAAGGCATTCAACTGGCATATTTGTGAGCAGGAGGGAAGTGGAACTGGACTGCAGAGGAAATGAAGAAGTTCATTGTGCGGCAGTGGATTGGAGGATAGCAAAGGTCGGTCCTGCTGAAAATGCAGTACAGTTCATTAACACCATAGAAGTGGATTGGCTTCTTTGCTAAACGTTCAGGAAATCGCCGGTTTACTGACTCTGCCAGAGGGAGTGTGTTTATTAACACAACAACAAGCATCGCTGGCAGAGAAATGAGGGGACGCCCAGATATTGGGCAGGATCGCGTGGCATAGCAACCCGTCATGGCAGATCACCACAACAGGCTGCCCTGAAGTGCCAAGCAGCCATGGCGAGCCCTGCAGGCAGGCAGGCAGGGAGGCTCCTGGGCTTGCGCTGCTCCTCTCCCGCACTCCTCCCCTCTCATTCCACCTGGCGATAGCCATGAGCGCAAGCCGGGCTTGGCCGGCCGCAGAGCTCCCTGCTGCTCAAGCAGGACTCGCTCCCCGCAACAGAGCAAAGAGAATGGGGCACAGAGCAGGCACCTTGCCTCCCGTGCCAGGAGGACGGGGTGCGGGCTCCCTCTTAGGCACAGGGAGGGCAAGCAACCAGGCAAGGCTGCAAAGGGGCAGCGCTGCTCAGCTGACTCCCCTGCTCCTGCTCCTGCCCGAGAGGAAGGGCTGGGCTCAGTGTGGAGGGCCGTCTCAGCAGGCCCCCGCTTAGGCCAGGCTTCCCCTTCCCCGCCTCTGCTGGAGAGAAAGCTGCTCAGGTGGAAGCACGCGAGGGGGAACCGGGGCCAAGAACGGAGCCTCCCCACCTGGCCCAGGTCCCCCCTTCCGCACTCTGGCCTGGGCACCTCCCTCTCCAGCCAGAGCAAAGAGGAGGGCAGGTGCACCCTCAGGGAGCTGGGCCGAGAAAGGAGCGCCTTGCTCCCAGCAGGAGCAAGGAGGTGCTTGCCCCCTTCTTCCCAGGGCAGCGCCCCCCAGTGGGCCCACCCCCTTCCGATCACCGGAGAAAGAGGTTCTCTGACATGCAAGCAGAGCTGGGGGGGCGGATCCATCGCCCAGGAGGCACTGTCCCAGTTGGGGGCACCATGGGCCAGCGGATCCTCCCCCACCACCTGCAGTGCGGGAGGTGAGAACGGGGAGGGCGATCGGTCAGGCAGCACCGCCCTGGTCAGAGCCGCCCCCGCCAGCCCAGCAGCCCGGGCAGCTCCCTCTGGCAGCTCTGTGGTTCCGGGCTTTTTACCAGGACGGGTTGCGCTATCTGGGTTCAGATGACGCAACAGGCAACTATGGGAGGGAAAAACCCAGAACAAACCATTGTCTTATCGTGGGTGATGATAAGTCTCAATCACTGATCACCATGACTGCGTTCAGACAACATGGCAGGCACGTACACAGCCTCTTAACTGTTTGTCGCTTGGCATGTCATGTTCGTTTCTCTCTCTCTCTCTCTCTCTCTCTCCGGTCATCCTATTTTAAGGTAGTCATGAGGACCCTGTGGCTCTCCAGATGCCAATTGCTGGTCGTGGTGGCTGGTGGGAGGTGAGCCCCTTGACAAACTTAAAACTTAACAAGTAGAACCAAAACCCTTTCCTCCAGTTTGAATCATAAAGAGAGTCGCAACACCCTCAACAGCATCTGATCCATGGGGAGGGCCCCAATCCCTTAGTCCCACACACACACACATTCCCACCCCCAGGTTGCTGCCAAGTTACCAAAGGACCGAAGGCATTTCTCAATTAACTCATTCAGGGTACAGGACCGGTTCATTTCTCCCAGAGAGTTGCAAGCCAATGCCTGGCTGATCTCCCGGGGGTTCGGGCAGGTCCTGCGGCGTTGGTTTTTCCGCTGGGAAATCTTGCAGGCATCCGGAGTGGTGCTGGCATCCACGATGCTGGCGGCTTCCATGCGCAGCTTTCTGCAAAAGAAGCTTCACTTATATTGGCCGAAGCAAGAGGCCTGAGGAGCCACCCACGCTGGCCCTTTGCTGACCTCCAAGGAGAGGGATGCAAAGCTGGGAAGATGAGAGCACTTCTGGGAGGCTAGGAGTGAGGCGACACCCCGTGCCCTTCCTGGCTGGCTGTCAAACTGCCCTTTTGCTACGGGCAGCAAAGATGGGTTACACGCGAAGCAGGTGCACATGGGAAAACTGTTCTGCCAGCTTGTGAGAGTGGCTGGAACGCCGGGGACAGGCTGTTTGGACACGGGAATCCTGGGGTCCACCCCCCACCCCACCTTGCAAACCCCCACCCCAGCCTTCTCCTCCAGATGTGTTGGACCACAACTCCCACAATCTCATCATTACAGTGTGTAGTACAACACACCTGGGAGCACCAGCTTGGGAAAAGCTGCCACATAGGTCTCTGCACAGCAGTCACTGGGGAACATGGGTGGGAGAGTTCTGTTGCTTGTGGGAGCCTCTGGGCAGCTGGTTAGCCACTGTGTGAACACAGTACCGGACTGGACAGTCCTTGGAGGGAGGCTTGCTCTCTCGCCAGTCCTGAGGTTCTCCCAAGCATGCGGGAGACTCCCTGATGGGTCTCCGGCGGCCCATTTGCGCCTCAGTCCTGTTGCTACTTACCAGCCAGGCTCACTGTTAGAAAAAGTGACAACGGTTGTTGAAATTGTCACTGTGGTCTCTGAAGCCAGCTGTACTAACAAGCCATGGTTGGTTAACCCTGGGCAATGCATGGCTTGTTCTCGGCTTGTGAACTGTGGGTTGTCCACCATGGTTTGTTCGCATGGCTTGGTGCCAATAGAATGATAGCTTGCACCTCACCAACAGTCTACAGTTCTACAACAACGCACCCTCTTCCCCTGAGTGTGAGTTTTTGTGTTGTCTGAATCCCGTGTGAAAGAACCAGAGATCAAAAGTTAAGCCCTTGAATGAAAAGTGCAGCCTTCCCCAACCTGTTGTGAGTATTTTTAAATAAATGTTGCAGAAACACCTTCGGTTAGCAATCTTTCGGAAGAGAACTAAACCTCCCCACAGAACCTCTCACCACTTGAGGGAACAGGGAATGGGGAGCAGAGAAGACAGAACAACGCTCTCCACTCGCAAGACCTTTGTGCTGCAGGTTGTGGATCACGTTTCCCATCTGCACTGGGCCACTGCAAGACTGTTGCTTTCCCCCAGCCCCTCTGCAGGCCAGAGGGGCTTCCAGAGCCGTGGCGGTCCCTTCCTCCACGCACCTCCGCATGTCCCCAGCAGGACAGCAGGGGGCAGGCAGGGGAAGAGGCAGCTGGTGTCAGGCCGGTCTCCTTGGTATCACCAAAAGAGAGGCGACCAAATTTCCGCACGAAATCTGTGCGTGCGGGGCTGGAAGCGTGGGTGATGACTTCCGAAGCGATGGCTGTCACAGAGAGCGAAGGACCCTGTGACCAAGCGGCCTCTGGGAACTGAGCTCTTCTTGATGATCGTTCTGCTTCTTTAAAACAGACGTGGGCAGAATAAGTCTCCATGAGAGGGAAGCTTCGAACAGAGGACTACCTGCCGCCAAAGAGGACATACGGCCACCCTCGGTACGGCATCTTTGTTGCCATGTCTCATGCTACAGATTCCTTGCAGGTGTTGGGCAAGAGAGACTTAAACCAGCTTGAGCTTCTTGAGCCATCTTGGCTCTCCAGGATGTTTGTCTGAAAAGGGTCCTTTGGCTTCATTTCTGCGTAGGACCAAAGTATCCCGGGACAGGCTTTCTATAAAAGTTCCCAAGTGTTCTAGCCAATAGCAAGAGTATGTTCTGAAGAGGCCCAGAAGAATCACAGCATTCAGCCATGCCTAACATCTGGATAAACCACAGGCTCAAAATGAATATGTTTTGAACCCCTGGGCTAAAATGCCTGATGAAAACCGAGAAGCAATGCATGTGTGAATGCCCAAGTTTCTCAACCCGCGACAGCCAAATCAAGGTCTAATTTAATCAGGATAAGCAACAGAACATCACAACTTTCCCTGGTAGAGAGAAACACCCTGGGCATCTCTCCCACGGCACACGTTGGTCCATCACACCAGGTTCAGCCCCCATTGCTCATGCTGTCCCACCGACCTTTGGTTTTGTTGCAGGAGTCCCATCGATCATCTCTGGGAAATCTGAAATGTTTTCTCCCTAGCCCTAACCTCAAACATATTCCCCTTAGAAGCCATGAAGCACAACCTCTTGGGCTTCCTCATTTCCCCCACTTGACAGCACATTTGAAAGTCAAGCACCCATCCAGCAGCAGTGCTTGGGAGTCCTGCGTACTACTGAGGAACTTCCTTCCCCCTTGCCCAACTTCCTTGCATGCATGGCCCAGGCCAGCATCAGCACTCACCACTGCCTCTTTCAAGGCTAATCAGCTTGCTTCCTTGCAAGACGTCTAAGCAATGTTTCCGGCTTGGATATCTCATCTGCAAACTTTGTGGGCGTTCTGATCAGTCTTGCCTGCTGGATGACTGGTCTTTTCCAGAGGCTGAGCTGAGCTTAGCAGATCAAAGTAGACAGCTGAGCTCAGTATCTCATGAAACCTGTGTGTTGTCAGCATGGTGGTACTCTGTTACAACATCTCAGCTTTCCCTCTGGAAAGTTTAGACCTTGCAAAACCTGGGTGGCCAAAGTGGACTTCTCCAAGACCCCAGCATGTTCACAAGGCAGGCTGCTAAGCAACAGTCACTTAAAGATCAGAAACGGAGTAATAAAGAGCATAAATCAGCCCATAAGCCTTCAATCACAAGCTGAAGAAGGTATCAGCCTAGGAACCTTGCATGAATACAAGCAAATATTAAAATGCACATGCTAGCTTGTTCTTGAGTATGAAGCGGCAGGTGATTTGAGCCAGAATCTCTACGAGAGTTTTACCTTCCAGAGCTGCTGCAGCGCATGTTCAGAGATGCGTGCTGACAATCCCTTGCAGTACCACACAGGATTGGACCTCATCATTTTCCACAACAGGACTGAGCAACTTATGGACCTCTGGAGCGTTTGGCCTACAGCTCCCATCAGCTCCACCCAGTGGGTAGGCTAAAACATGTGGGAAGCCACATCTCTACAACCTTGCAAGATCCTGGAATACCTGTCTCGGATCTCACAGAGTACTACTGGCCCCTCTGAAAATATCGGGATCCAAAACAGTCACACTAACTTTTCACCGATGAAAATGAGGAACGTTTGTGCATTTGTAACTCCTCAGTTCTCCCACCAAAATCACAACCTCGATATTCCCACACCTCTGCTCTCCCCTAGTCCCAAAGCAAATCCATATTTTCTCTGTGGAATTCTCTGGCCCTCCAGGTTAGGAGTAATTTACTCTGTGGGAACTATACTAACCTTGGAAACCGATGTGTTAGCAATTCACTGACCATAAAAAATAAAAGATGAAAGAAAGTCCGGCTTCCCCAGAGAGCTGCTTGGTCTGCAGCAGTCAGGACATGCTCAACTTCACCTCTACCAGGCATGATCCCTAATTTTTGCTACCTGACCCTGCTAACTGGTCAACTGGACATGGACACCGACGTCTGAATGCTCCCTTCATGCTGGCTGTGAATACCAAGACTTGCAGTCTGACACATCTGGTAAGCCCTGTAGTTATATTGGTCATTCTTACCTGAAATCCAGCTGGGGCATTTCAAAGACGCAGCACCTCTAGAGGCAAACCTGCCTCTTTGTCTTTCAGATCTGGCAGCCCTGTGCCTCCCAAGCCAGGACTGGAACGTCGTTGTTGTTACTTTTTTGGACAGGGAACAAAAGGAAACCCAAGTCCCACCTATGCAGAGTTATCCATCCCTTGCCCAGCTGCATGAAGCCAAGTGCAGGCCAGGAGTCCCAGTGAATCAGCTTCAGGACTCTGCCCTTTTCCGAGCAAAGCTCCTATACCACTAGGAGTCATGCAGCAAAGACAACCGCCATGGCTCTTTCGAGGGCACGACGTGGGGAGCGAGCATCCCCGGTTGTGCTCAAGGCTTCCCACAAAGCTGCATTAATGCGCGGTAGCCCCGTCCCCCCCAAAAGTTGGCACATCAACGCTATATTGAGAGAGGCTGCATTTCATTGGACGGCAAGTTGCATGACTGTGAGCCACGCTGTTCAAAATTAGAATGGAAAGAGGAAAAGAAAAGCTCTGTCAAAAATAACATAACACTCAAAACAAAACTAAAGCAGGGCTAGGAAAATCCCAGTGAGTGAAGAAAGGGAGGGCTCAAGCGGTTCCGCTTACCTCCTGCTCTCTCGTCGGATCATATTTTTTCCAGCTCACCACAGCCCGTCTTCCAAGGCACCGTCTTGACCTGTCCTGGCCCCAGGAGGGGAATGCTGTTTTCGCTTTACTGCTGGGGAGGGGACTCGTCGCTGCTCCTGCGAGCACAGCCCAGTTGTGCGAGGGAACTCAGTTTCTCCGCACGGCGGCCGAATCCGAATGAACGGGTTGCTTTTCTGCTGATGTGCGGTTAAAAGGAACTGGGTTACACATGTGATGTGGTGTGGTGTGCGTGCATGCATGTAAAGAAGAGATAGAACGGGCAGCGTCAAACTGTGGCAGTCAATGGCATTGCTACTGAGCTGCTCTTTTTCAAATGAGTGCAATTCCTTTTCCCTGGGCAGCTGCAGGCATGTGGGCATTCAACAGTTCCTGATCGCTGCATCTTCATGATGGCGAAGACTCCAGATGTTGCATATCTGGAGGCCATAGAGTTTATAAAGAAGGGAAAAGACCCCCAGTCTTTAAATTCCAGACCATAGCTAGAAATAAAATAATGAAAACATAAAATTTAGAGAATGCACATTGCTCCTCCCTGCCCAACTTATGCTAACTGCTCAAATTAATATCCTGGGAATAGAACTAAGTAGTTTTGGTTCTCACACCCTCAGTCTCACCTCCCCCGTCACAACACGCTCTAACCATTAAGCACCACTCCCATCCCAAAGCCACTTGCAGGCTTATTTTATTCTCATTCAGGGACAGAAGCATTTATGTCTTGCCTTTTGTTCTAGCATGCAAAGCAACTTGCACAACATGTATAAAATTTGTTTTGTAGAAAATGAAAACCACCTAAGACAGGACAGAACCAGTGGGTTAACCATCCGAACAACAGAAGACTCAGGGCCCCTTTCAACCCCCTGGAAAGCCAGACCCTGGCGGTGGGGCACAGAGACAGACCCGAAGTCCAAGTGAGCCCCTTTCTCCTGCCCGCCTGCAAGACAAGGCATCATCCGTGCGGGACGGATTACTCGTGATCAGGCCCTGAGGACTGCCAGCTTTTCAGTGGGCCCCTGTGCTTCTAACAGCATCATGATCTGCTTTCCTGGAAAGGAAGACAGGCAGGATATACATATAATAGATAAATGCATGGCACAGAGCGTTTCCCAAGATGCTACAAAAGCTTAGCTACTGGTCCAGCTGCTGTCAGAGGAACCAGCTGTTCTTGTGCCCCTAGTCCAGTGGCAAGCCTGAAAGGAGCACCACCGGAGAGAAGAATTCATGCGCCCACAAGACGGGCCACTGACCCCTGGAGAAGGAGGGGACAGCACCTCTCCTGGCTGCTGACCGTGGCATTTGTGGGTCACAAGGCAGTGTCATTCCAACATCTTCGCTGTTCTCCTCCAACCATTAAGGGCTCATGTGCACCACAGGTTTTTTCCTTCTTGAAGATCCGCGAGGGCCCTTGAGGAGCCGAGTGTCCCTTTAAATGTCGCCTTGGCTTCCCAGAAGGAATTTACAAATGAGCTGCTATTCCTGCCCCCCTCCATACACACCTTCTTTCCACAGGGATGTTTTTTTGTAGGTGGGGAAAAGCTGCTGTGCAGAAGGGGAGGTGTCTGTTTGGTAGAGGAGACATTGTTTCAAGGGAAGCAGAAATCAAACCTCACAACAGATGAAAGATTTTAAATTAAGCCTGAAGCTGAGAGTCAGCGTTTGCTCTACAAGTTACTCTCTTCATTTGGCTCCTAAGATGCAACTTGCCCAGTGAAGTATTGGGTAAATAAATGCCTTTCGCTCAAAAGCAAGGGGCAATGATCCTTTAAAGGGTATTTAGCTCTTTTATGGAGTCCAGGTGTGGAGGGGGCTCTTGCTGCAAACCTGAGTTGCATCACTCGGGCGGGTTCTGTCCTCCCCCAAAAACGTTTGCTCATTTGTGCGCATCTGGCCCCCCAATCGCACTCGAAAGCATCTTTTTTGCAGTGTGTGGGGGGAGGTATTATTGAGACAAACAATGCTGAAGCTGAGTTGTTCAGATGCTTTAGAGGGAATTTAGCCCAAGAGCCATGCCCGGCCCAGGGAAAGCCGCGCAATCCAGCGCCATCGTCCAGTACCTGGCAAGCCTCGGGATCCACGTCCAGCCTGGGAAGACCGGCCCCCGCCAGGTGAGTGGAGCGAGTCGTGGCTTGTGCAAACAGATGCTCCGGCTTTTCTCATTTTCTGGTCCTTGTCCTTGCTCCAGTTCTGTGCCCCATTTGCTGCCTTGCTCCCGGTTTCTGCCTTTTAGGAATGCCTGGTTTTCCTGGGGTGAGTTATTACTATTTTTTATTGTTGTTGCACTTTATTTATGCCCTGCCTTTCTTCCCCTGACAAGGGAATCAAGGGCGCCTACAAGCTGCGCCTCCGCTCCATTTTATCTTTGCAGCCACATCCCTGTGAGCTAGGCTGGGCTTAGAGAGCAAGACTGGCCCAAAGCCGGGCAGCGAGCTCCATGGGCGGGAGGGGACCAGGTCCCAGATGACCACTGCTCTGGGGCTTCCCTCCGTGAGACCCCCGCACTTCCATTTCCTCTGCAGGAGAATTAGCTCATCCTCCTCATGAGGCTTTTCCCCAGGGGTTTTCCTCTGGTTTCTTCATACCACATTACACAACACAAAGCGGCGCTGTGCTGTGGAACACCATGACAAAAATGCACAAGGGTTCTGGGGTGAATAATGCAAAATTCCGGGTTTTCTTCACACTAAAAAAAAAAAAAAAAAAGCTACAAAAATGTCTAGAAAACCCAGGAGAAACTCTTAACCATGCAAAGGTGCGAAAAGGCCCTACAAACTTCAGAGAATAAGGGACCACACGTGCACAGTAAATGCACCACACAGAAAACTGCTTGATGGTTGTGCGCTGCTATAGTAGCAGAGACTTTGGTGCAATTTTTGGCCTGCTATTCAAAAAACATAAGCTTTTTAAGCGAACATAAACTAATATTTTGGATACTTTAGCTCCCCCCCCCTTTCTTTTTTCTTTGGCCCCACGCAACACTGGAATGCAGACCTTGGAAACAGCTGGACTAGATAAGCCTTTGGTCAGCTCAGCAGGGATGTTGTAATCTTACATTAAGGTGAATGTACATGTAAGGTTAATGTAGGGACATTAAGGCCTGGGCCAGGCCCTGGTATGGTCAGTATTGTTCCGAGGGTATCCTTGAAAGTGGTGTTGCATGCCTAGGTTTAAACATGAAAATACTACAGTTTGCACATTTCGCTCTTTCACTTTCTGTAGCTGGGGAGGCTATTTAAGTTAAGCACATGCTGAGAAAATTCTAATTCTCTAAACCTCTGCAACAGATCTAACCAAAACAAAAACCCAGGATGGGTGGATGGGAATTAACAGCATCTGCCTTTAGCAACACACACACACACTTTGACAAACGACACTGCTGCTGTACTCGGCACTGGTGGATTCTGATCCCTATTCTATAGAACATGGATCTTTTCCCCCCACTTTGGCCCGTGATTAATTCTTTTGAGTTCTCTAGAATTAGCGGTGCAATTAGGGTGGTGTGGGGTGAGGGCAAACGGGCTTTTCTGACGAGGCAGTTATCATGCCACATCTACTTTTGATTATCTTGCAGAACTGAAATCCAAGCACTGGGCAGAGAGAATTTCCTTTCCTGTTTTTCTGCAACCTAACCTCTAGGTGGCGCTGTGACATAGCCGGGTAGCATAAATAAGCAAGGAGAAATGTGCTTTCTTTTGCTTTCACACAAAAGACCTCCTTTTCTCTGCACTTTAAAATACTTGCCGAAAGTGTGCTTGAGACACACAAGTGATGCTGGAGTACCACAATGTGGGACCTGAATACAACTGTGAGTAGGGCATTGTGCAAACCTCAGCCTAATCTAAGCCTTTGTGCCTCCCTCCACATCTCATTTTAGGGTTCTGATGACCATGGCCATTTTCCAGAGCAGGAAATGCAACACGTTAAATTGACATAAATTGGGCCCAAACGGAGCCCAAGTGCCTGGGCTTGGCCATGGACTGTCCAACATATTAATGAGGGTGAGGCCTCTGAAGATGGGCAGAGTGCCTTGGGTTTGAGCTGGACAGGCATAGTCTCTGAGCATACACAGAGTGCTTTCATATCAGCAAAGATGAAAAGTGAAGCAACAGGGTGTGCATGGAAAGAAAGGGGTTTGTTCATTTATTTAGAACTTTTCTACACCGTCCTCTTACCAAATAGTCTCAGGATGGTTATTTAATAAAACAAAGTAAAGCGCAACATCATTTTTATACAGTAAAATCCCAGTTAAAATAGCAATTTAAACCTTAAAATGCTGGGAAAATAAAAAGGTTTTACCCTGGCACAGAAAAGAATGAAGTGTCCAGACTTCTAGGCAGGGCTGGGCCCTAAAAGTAGAATGCCGGCCAAATCTTTGTCGCAACCTGAATAAAAACCCAAACCCCACCCTTTATTGTGGTAACCTGCTTTGACTTCTGAGTGCCAAACAGGATGCATTCTTTTTGTACCCCTAAGGGGGGACTTTGTCTCTAGTTTCACACATTTTCTGTGGTGCAGCTGCTGAGGCAACGGAAACCCTCTGCTGTGGCTGGAAGGGGTGGGGGGCAGTGGGGACCACCCTTCGGGAAATCGCTAGGTACCCCTGTCTTGGGGAAGAAGATGGAGGAACCGGTCCCACCCTGCACACTGCGGGCTGAAGGAGAGGCCCGCTCGAAGACTCGAAGCAGCGGGAGGTGGGGAGCCGAGCACTGGACCTCTCTGAACACCACCTGCAGAGGTGAAAACTCCTTCACCAGCCGGCTAGCAAACAGCAGCAGGTGCAGGACTGAGCAGGAGATCGTGTTTTGGGGGCGGCGGTTTGCACTGCATTCGGCCTTGCTAGATCCCAGGAAATTCCGCCTTCCTGGGGAGGGGTTCAAATCTTCCCCAACTCCTCAAAAGACGTCATCGATTGTGTCCTCTCCAGCTTGTAAGCTTTTCCAGGGAATTTCAAATCTGTGTGGTTCTAGTTCTTCGGTGATGAAGAAGTGCCACTCTGCATGAGCTCAGGGGCCCACTTGCCCCTCCAATCAGATGCACACACACTTACTGCTTCCTGTACACCTGGAATTTCACACCAGAGTTTTGGTGCTTCAGATTAAGACTTCCTCTTAAAACCACAAAATGCGTGCAGGTTGCTGTTATTTTTGCAGTGGGGTCAATGTACATGGTGCTTGACCAAGGAATGTAAAAAAGGAGAAAATG